AGGGGACCCTAAGGAGTTGCCTATCTCATGGTAGTTTTGATTTGCATTTCTTTGATGATTGGTGAAGCTAAGCGTGCTTTCTTATGTTTGTTGGCTACTTGTACGTCTTCCTGTGAGAAGTGTCTGTTCATGTCCTTTACCTACTTTTTAGTGGGGTTGTTGGTTTTTTTCTCGTTAATCTGTTCCTTATAGATCCTGCATGTTAGGCCTTTGTCGGATGCATAGCTTGCAAGTATGTTTTCCCCATTACGTGGGTTGTCTCTTTCCTCTCTTCCTGGTTTCCTTTGCTGTGCAAAAACTTTTTAGCTTGATAAGGTGTTTAGATTTTGCTGCATTTGCTTTTGAGGTCTTGGCCATGAATTCATTGCTTAGGCCGATATTCAGGAGGGTGTTCCCTAAGTTTTCGTCTAACATTCTTGTAGTCTGAGGTTTCACATTTACCACTTTTTTTTTTTTTTTTTGAGTTGGAATTTCACTCTGTTGCCCAGGCTGGAGTGCAGTGGCATGCTCACAGCCACCACAGCCTCGCCCTGCTGGGCTCAGACGATCCTCCTGCCTCAGCCTTGCAAGTAGTTGGAACTACAGGTGCGCACTACCACAGCTGGCTAGTTTTTATTTTTTATTTATTGTAGAGCCAAGGTCTCACCAAATTGCCCAGGCTGGTCTTAAAACCCTCAGCTCAGGTAATCCTCTCGCCTCAGCCTCCCAAAGTGCTGGGATTACAGGCTTGAGCCACTGCGCCCAGCCCCTTGATCCATTTTGGGTTAATTTTTGTATATGGTGATAGGTAGGGGATCAGTTTCATTTTTCTGCTTGTGGTTAGCCAGTTTTTCCAGCATCACTTGCCAAATAACGGCTTCCTTTTCCCAATGTTTGTTCTTGATGGCTTTGCCAAAGATGAGTTGGTTGAAGGTCTGCAGTCTTGTTTCTGATTTCTCTATCCTGTTCCATTGATGTTTGTGTCTATTTTTGAACCAGTACTATGCTATTTTGGTTACTGTAACGTTATAAAGTTTGAAGTCATGGGAGTATGATGCCTCCAGCTTTATTGTTTTTGCTGATGATTGATTTAGCTATTTGGGCTCTTTTTTGCTTCCATGAATTTAAGCATTGTCTTTTTTAGGTCTGTGAAAATGATGCTGGTAGTTTGACAAGGATTGCACTGAATCCGTAGATTGCCTTGGGTATAATGGACATCTTGAAGAGATTGATTCTTCCAATCCATGAACATGGGATAGTTATCCATTTGTTTACGTCATCTTTCATTTTTTTGATCAGTGTTTTGTCATTCTCATTGTAAAGATCTTTCACCTCTTTAGTTAGATGAATGCTGAGATATTTCATTTTATTTGTTGTGGTTATTGTGAAGGGAATTTGTGGTTGATTAGTCCTCAGCCTGCTTATTGTTGCTATATAGAAGTGTAGCTGACTTTTATTCATTGATTTTGTAATCCAAGACTCTACCAAAGGTATTTATCAGTGCAAGGAGGTTTTTGACAGACTTACTAGGGTTTTCTAGGTATAGAATCATATCATCTGCAAAGAGAGATAATTTAACCCTCTTTTCCTATTTGGATACCTCTAATTTATTTCTCCTGCCTTATTACTCTGATTAGGATATTCAGTACTAAGTTAAAGAGGAGAGAAGAGAGTGCATATTCTTGTTTTATTCCAGTTTTTAGGGGGAATGTTTCCAACTTCTGCCCGTTAAGTATGACATTGGCTGTAGGTTTGTCATAGATGGCTCCTATTATTTTGAGGAATGTTCCTTTGATGCCTAGGTGTTTGAGGATTTTTATCAAGAAGGAATGTTGGCTTTTATCAAATGCTTTTTCTGTGTTTACTGAGCTAATCATCAGGTTCTTGGGTTTATACCTATTTATGTGACAGATTGCATTTATTGATTTGAATACATTGAATCAGCCCTCTATGCCAGGTATAAAGTCTGCCTGGTCATGATGAATGAGACTAGTAATGTGCCATTGGATGCAATTTGCTGAGAATTTTTACATCTATTTCATCAAGGATATTTGCTTAAGGATATGCTTTCCTTTTTGGGTCTTTGCCATTTTAGGGTATCAGGATAATATTGGCTTCATAGAATGAGCTAGGAATAATTTTTTCCCTTCTCTATTGCTTGGAATACTTTCTTTCTTTTTTGGCATACTTTCAATAGGAGTGATATCAGTTCTTCCTCATATATCTTGTGGAATTCAGCTGGTCCAGGGCTTTTTTTTTTTTTTTTTTTTTTTGGTGGGGTGGTTTCTTATTATTGAGTCGATTTCTTGAATTGTTATGGGTCTGTTTAGGGTTTCAATTTATTTCTGTTTCAATTTTGGGAGGTTGTGTGTTCCCAGGAATTTCTCAATTTTCTCTAGATTTTTTTAGCTAAATTGTATACAGTTGTTTGTAGTCATCTCTGATAATCTTTTGTATTTCTTCAAGATCAGTTGTAATATTGCCTTTTTTGTTCCTAATTGTGTTTATTCTAATTTTGTCTCCTGTTTTATTAATCTGGCCAGGTGTCTGTCAATTTTCTTTATCCTTTCAAAGAACCAGCTTTTCCTCTTGATCCTTTGTATTTATTTTTATTTTTTTATTATTGGTCTCTATTTCATTTAGCTGTGACTTTATTTTGATGCTTTCCATTCATCTTCTGATTTTGGCATTGGATTGCTCTTGTCTTTCTAGCTCCCTTAGGTGTGATGCTGGATTGTTCACTTGAGATCTTTCTATTTTCTTGATGTGTGCATGTGATGTTATAACATTCCCTCTCAGCACAGTTTTCATGGTGTCCCAGAAGTTTTGGTATGATGTGTCTTTGTTTCCAGGAATCTTTTTATTTCTGTCTCGATTTCTGTGTAAACCCAAAAGTCATTCAGAAGCATGTTGTTTAATTTCCATGTATTTGTGTGGTTTAGGGGGTTCCTGTTGGTGATGATATTTATTTTTATTCTGCTGTGATCTGAGAAGATGCTTGGTATGACTTTGACCTTTTGAATTGTGTTCATGTTTGATTTATGTTCAAGATGTGGATGATCTTGGTGTATATTCCATATGCTGTTGAGAAGAATGTGTATTTTATAGTTGTTGGGTGAAATGTTCTGTAGCTGTGTATTAGATCTAATTGGTTCCATGTCAAGTTAAGGTTCCGAGTTTCTTTGTTAGTTTTCTGCCTCAGTGATCTAAGGAGGGACAGAGGTAGAAGGAAGGGTGGTGAATTGGAAGGAATCTGTCTGCCACTGCTTCCCCAATGCACTCTAGTGGGAACAGGGCTTGTCTTTTCCTCTAGTTCATAGGTGTTTTCCTCCCTCTGACACTGGTGCTGGGAGTTCTGGCTCTCCGGGAGCTTCTTCAACCCTCTCAACAGCCCACACATCTCATCAGTAGGATTGGAAGGTGGCCAGAAGGGACCCTGACTCTGGCACATACTCTGGCACAGGCATTCTTGGGAACATGGGGTGGCCTCCTCCCATCTGGACAGGACCACCCCTTTCATGCATGGATAGAAGGGAAGTAGATGTCTAGGGGAGAGTAGGTATTTCTTCCTCAGTCTGCAGATGGGAGGGCCACTACAACTGTAGAGATGTGCACCACCTCCTAGTTCCTGCCCTGCTTTGGCAGGAGAGGCTATTGCTGTGATAGTAGCACCCTGAAGGCAAGCCACATCTGTAGCCCTGATCAGGGGCTTAACAGGTGTCAGCATCACTGGAGAATCACCCTTGAAGTGGGCATGTCATAAGCTTGGGTCTGTGGAGGGAGAGAGGAAGAAATGCCCTTGCAGCATGGACCACCCCCACAAGTTGTTTCCTTCAGTCTCTCTTTAGGGGGGTTGGTGGCCAGCAGTGCCAGGGCTCACTGGAAACTGGAGTTCCCCACGCTCCACATGGATTCTACTGGTTCCTCTGCTCTGATTCCTGGGAGCTGTCTGTGCCCGGCCGGTTTGGGAGGGGTATGGGCTGTCTGTTTTTTGACTGAGACTTCAGAGGCTTATGTGAGGTATGTATAAAAAAAAACCTGTCACTTTTACTCACTCTTCCCTTTTTCAAGAGCACTGTTCCAATCTCATGATGAGGCCATTTCTTAGGGTGGCTGGGGCTTGGGGCTAACCATCCTCCATGTACCCAGGTGACCATCTGATACCCCTCAGTCTTGGGTTTTAGGCCCATCCTCAAAGTCTTAGGTCTGCTCTTCCATTTAGGGTTCTTGGCTGAGGGTGGTTATTGTGTGATGTCCCAGCCATTTTGGTCCTTCCTCCTGAAATGTTTAAATGTAATCATTACATTTAATTGAATTTACTTGCAATTTACTTTTGTACCTGAGCAACTGAAGTTATGTTGTATTACTTTTACATGAATCAATGACTGGACATCATAATCTTGAGTCCAAGTATTTAAAATAATTTTAAAATTTTGCCTTAGGCCTTTTCTGGGTATAGGTCTTCTAAAATGGATTTGTTTGAAATTTGGGAAGCCCATTTGAGGAGTTTTTGTTTGTTTGTTTTAAGATCTATAGTTTTTTTTTTCTTTTCTTAATTACATGTGTGATTGTGAATTCTGTTTCTATCATTCTAATTTCTTCAGGATCTTATTTTCCCATCAACATAGTACAGTGCTTGTCATTAGAAGATACTCAAGTGTTTGTCATGTAAATAAATAAATATATTAATGGATAAGAATGGGGAGGATTGATCAGATGACTGGAGGAGTTGCTAGTAGGAAGTTGGAAATATGGTTCTGAAATCTTAGAAAGAAATCAGGTCCAGAAATGTAGATTTGTAATTTTGCCTCTTTGGGGTAATAGTGGTAATTGTATGAGTGGGTGAGATCACCTGGGATGAGAGGATATATTGGAGAGAGAAGAGGGCAAAAGACAGACCTAACTTAGAGAGGCATCTCAATCCAAGGAGTCACCTAAGGATGGACAGGAAGAGAGCAAACTTGGCATACTTCCACTGGCTTAATGTGTTTATTGGTTTTTCTCCCTCCCTTCACCACTAGGGTTACAGAGATGTACTTCCAACTGAAAGAAATGAACGAAAAGGTATCTTTTATAAAGGACTCTTTACTGTCTTTGGACAGTCAGGTGGGACACCTGCAGGACCTCTCTGCCCTGACTGTGGATACCCTAAAAGTTCTTTCTGCTGTTGACACCTTGCAAGAGGATGAAGCTTTCCTGGCCAACAGAAAGCATTCTACCTGCAGAAGACTTCCCCACAGCTGGAGCAATGTCATCTGTGGAGAGGTTCTAGGCAGTATGGAGATCTCTGGGGAGAAGAAATACCAGTATTATAGCATGCCCCCTTCTTTGCTGCGGAGCCTGGCTAGAGGCCAGTATGTCCCAAGAGTACAGAGGCAGGCCTTTCTTGAGATTACACACAGTCAAAAAGAGGCTTCAAATGCAAGACATGACCAGGAAGAACAAGAAACACAAAGCAGTATAGATGCTTCTAGGGTGTCTCCTAATAGGCAAGGCCACTCAAAGTATGGTCCATTTCTCCTGGTCCCTTCTTATGTAAAGCAAGTTCCTTTTTCAGCAGAAACTGCCTTGCCTCTGTCTAGACCATCTGTCGGAGCAGGTACAGATGTGCTGGCAACTGAACAGGTCACCCAGAGTGTGGTTTCTGTTCATCTGACTGGGCAGACCCAGGTTGTCTCAGACCAGGAATCAGTGGCTGAACCCAAGGAACTCCACGAGCCCATGGCTCAGACATCAGATAAACAAGACAAGGCAGAACAAGTTCTGCCCACTTTGAGTTGCACAGCTGCACCTGTGACAGTGACCCACCTTCCTTCCCAAGCCAAGAGCTTGCAAACTATAGGTGGATATGTGAACTGGGCATTTTCAGAAGGGGATGAAACTGATGAGCATAGCATCAAGAAGAAATGGCACACCTGCTTGCCCTCTGCTTCTAACAGTGACTCCACTCAGTGCGACCGATGCCCGGTGCAGATCTGGGGCAGTTCCTTATCTGATAACTCAACAAGATTGGTTAGTGATCACTCAGAGGTGGACCCGTGGCTCCAGCCAAATGCATCCTTTTGGATCAATCCTTTCCACAGAGGCAGATTCTTCACTAGGAGTCATAGTTTAAGACTCCACAAAAAGGAGAAACTGATGAAGATATGTAAGATTAAACGTAAGGAGTAAACTTTTAAAAAAATACCAGTATGAAATTCTTTGTGTTGCTACCGGTTTTTAAAAAAATCTACAACTCTTAACCACATTGTCATTCTCCCCATTCTCTCAGCTTTTTCTGTAAATCTTAAACTTTCTATCTTAAACTAACTTAGTTTAAGATAGGCTCTATGGCTTATGCCTATAATCCCAGTACTTTGGGAGGCCGAGGCCGAAGTGAGAGTATTGCCCGAGCCCATGGGTTTGAGACCAGCCTGGGTAACTTGGCAAGACCTTGTTGCTACAGTAGATCAAAAGATTAGCCGGGCATGGTGGTGTGTGTGCCCGTAGTTCCAGCTACTTGAAAGGCTGAGGCGGAAGGATCACCTGAGCCCAGCAGGCCGAGGCTGCAGTGGCCATGAGTGTGCCACTGCACTCCAGCCTGAGCAACAGAGTGAGACTCCAACTCAAAAAACAAAGAAACAAACAAACAATCTTAAATTTTCTCATGTAGACCATTTCCCTTACAGACCTTCCAAGATCCTCAGAATTTGGGCAGTCAGCATGGGTCAAAGCAAAAATGCTAACCAAGGACAGGAGATTGTCGAAGAGAAAGAAGAATACACAAGGACTGCAGGTGCCAGTAAGTGTTCGTTATTCTGTCTTTTAGGTTTTGGGCAGTCAAGGTAGTGGCCTGTATTAGCTTGATTTCTCTTTATTGTAAAGTGCCACCTACACAAAATAGCATTGTACTGAAAGGATTGAAGACTTTTTTTTTTTTTTTAAGAAACGGAGTCTTGCTATGTTGCCCAGGCTTACTTAAATTCCTGGGCTCAAGTGACCCTCCTGCCTCAGTCTCCCAATTAGCTGAGACTATAGGCATGTGCAGTCGCATTCAATTAAATGTTTGAGTCATTGGAGTGGATATACTGAAATTATTTATCTGTTCACGTGTTGAAGTACTTTTAGGTTATTTTCAAGTTTTGGCTACTCTAATAACGCGATGATGAACATTTGTGTACTAGTCTTTTTGTGGACATATGTTTTAATTTCTCTTTGGTAAATACTGAGGAGTTGAATGTCAGAGTCATATGGTAAGTGCTTTTGTTTGTTTGTTTGTTTTTTAATTTTTGAAGAAACTTTCAAACAGCTTTTCAAAGTATTGTAACATTTTACATGCTTACCAGTAGTTTATGAGAATTTCAGCTGTTCCGTATCCACACTTAGTTTTGTGTTGCTATAACAGAATACCCGAGACTGGGTAATTAACAAAGAGAAAAAGTTTATGTTTCACAGTTTGAAGGCTGGAAACTCCCAGGTGGAAGGGCCACATCTGGTAAAGGTTTTCTTGCTGATAGGGACGCTGAAGAGTCCTGAGGTAGTGCAGAGCATCACAGGGTAAGAGAAAGTTCAGGGCTGGGCACGGTGGCTCAGCCTGCAATCCCAGCACTTTGGGAGGCCAAGGCGAGAGGATTGCCTGAGCCCACAGGTTCGAGACCAGTCTGGGCAACTTGATGAGACCTTGTCTCTACAATAAATCACAAAAACTAGGCGGACGTGGTGGCATGCATCTGTAGTTCCAGCTACTTGGAAGGCTGAGGTGGAAGGATCGCCTAAGTCCAGCAGGTCAAGACTGCGGTGGCCGTGAGAGATCTGCTGCACTCCAGCCTGGGCAACGAGAGTGAGACTCCAACTCAAAAAAAAAAAAAAAAAAAAAAAGAGAGAGAGAGAGAGAGAGGTTCATGAGAGACAGCTAAACTGACTTTTATAATTGACCCACTCTTATGATAACTAACTCACTCCCTCAATCACTCATTAATCTATGAATGAATTAATCCTCTCATGAGGCAGAGTCCTCATGACCTAGTCATTTCTTAAAGACCCCACCCTCAATACTGTTGCAATGGGGATTAATTTCAACATGAATTTTGGAGGGGGCAAACATTCCAACCATAGCACTCACCAATCCAGTGTGCTGAACCTTTTAAATTTTAGCCATATTAGTAGATGTGTAGTGGTACCTCATGGTGGCTTCATTGCATTTCCTTTTCTTTTTTTTTTTTTTTTTTTTGAGTTAGAGTTTCATTTTGTCACCTAGGCTAGAGGGCAGTGGCACACACATGGCTACCACAGCTTCGACCTGCTGGGCTCAGGCAATCCTTCCGCCTCAGCCTTTCAAGTAGCTGGAACTACAGGCACATACCACCATGCCCAGCTAATTTTTTGGTTTATTGTAGAGATGAGGTCTTGCCAAGTTGCCCAGGCTGGTCTTGAACTCGCAGGTTCATACAATCTGCTCACCTCGGCCTTCCACTGTGCCCGACTTCATTTGCATTTTCGTAGTGACTAATGTCGCTTGGCAACATTTCATGTGTTTGTCATCTGTATAGTCATGCATCACTTAATGATGGGGACACTTTCTGAGAAAAACGTCATTAGGTGATTTCATTGTTGCACCAACATCATAGAGTGTATTTACACAAACCTAGATCATATAGTCCACTATCCACCTGCACTGTATGGTATAGTCTGTTGCTCTTAGTCTACAAACCTGCACAGCATGCTACTGTACTGAATACTGAAGACCATTATCACACAGTGGTATTTGTGAATTTAAACATAGAAAAGTTACCATAAAAATACAGTATGAAATATAAAAGATGGTAGTACACCTGCATAGGGCACTAACCATGAATGGAGCTTGTAAGACTGGAAGTTTCTGTGGGTGAGTCAGTGAGTAGTGGATGCATGTGAAGGCCTAGGACATTACTGTACACTATTGTAGACTTTATAAACACTATATACTTAGGTTACACAAATTTATAAAAAATAAAGTATACTACAGCATTATGATGGCTACAACATCTGTCACCATGTGATAGGGATTATTTTTTATCTTGTAGGACCACCATTGTTAGGCTGTCTTTTGTTGACTTAAACGTTGTTATAAGGCATATGACTGTATATCTTTTTTTGTGATATAGCTGTTTAAATCTTTTGTCCAATTGAAAAATTGGATTACTGTCATTATGAAGTTGTAAGGGTATTAAAATATATTCTAGATATAAATCCTTTGTGGAATAGATGTTTTTTTGGTGGCTTGTCTTTTCATTTCCATAAATGTCCTTTGTAACATATACGTTTTTTAATCTGATAAAATCAAATGATTGAATTTTTTTCTTTCATAGTCTATGCCTTTTGCATCACTTTTAAACTTTTTTTTTTTTTGCCAAATCCAAGATGACTAAGACTTTTTCTTATGTCTTCTTCTAGGCGTTTTATAGTTTTAGCTCCTTATTTTGGCTACAAATCCATTTTAAGGGAATTTTTATATATGGTGTTAGGTAAAAATTGAGCTCTCTTTTTCTTTGCTTCTAGAATATGAATATCAAAAAATTTTCTACCTTTTTTGGTAAAAGATATCTTTTGTCTATTGAGTTGTCTTGAATTTTTTGTGAAAAATTAATTGATTCACAATATGTGTGGTTCAATTTCTATCTATCTTTTTTTTTTTTGAGTCTGAGTCTCACTCTGTCACCCAGGCTGGAGTGCAGTGGCATGCTCACGGCCACCCCAGTGTCAACCTGCTGGGCTCAGGTGATGCTTCTGCCTCAACCTTCCAAGTAGCTGGAACTACTGGTGTGCGCTATCATGCCCAGCTAATTTTTTATTTACTGTAGAGACGAGGTCTCACCAAGTTGCCCAGACTGGTCTCGAACCCACAGGCTCAGGCAGTCCCCTTGCCTCGGCCTCCCAAAGTGCTGGGATTATAGGCTTAGCCACTGAACCCAGCCTCTATTTTTTTTTTTTTTTGAGTCAGAGTCTCACTCTGTCACCCAGGCTGGAGTGCACTGGCATAATCATGGCTCACTGCAACCTCCTACTACCAGACTCAAGCACACCTCCAGCCTCAGCTTCCCAAGTAGTTGGAGCTATATACATGACCCTCCATACCCAGCTAATTAATTTTTTGTTTTTGTAGAGATGAGGTCTCACTGTATTGCCGAGGCTTGTCTTGAATTCCTGGGCTGAAACAATCCCCTTGCTTTGGCCTCCCAAAGTGTTGAAATTACAAGTGTCAGCCACTACAGTTGATACTTTATGCCAATATTATGTTATCTTGAATATGTAAATTCATAATAATCTTTTTTTTTTTTTGAGGTGAAGTCTTACTCTCATGTCCAAGCTGAAATGCAGTGGCACAGTCATGGCTTACAACAACCTTGATCTCTCGGGTTCAGGTAGTCCTTCTGGCTCAGCCTTCTGAGTATTTGGGACTATAGGCATGCACCACCAAGCCCAGTTCATTTTATGAGTGTTTTGTAGAGACAAGGTCTTTCTGTCTTGCCTAGGCTGGTCTTGAACACCTGAGTCCAAGCAATTCTCCCGCCTCAGCCTCCCCAAGTGCTGGGATTACAGTCGTGAGCCACCATGCCCTGCCAGAAGTCTTGAAATTATATACTAAAAATCCAAATTTCTTTTTCTTTTCAGGAAGTTGTTTGACTATTTTATGTTCTTTGCATTTTCATATAAATTTAGAATCGGCTCTTCAATTTTTGCAGAAATCCTGCTAGGATTGTGAATGGAATTGCTATAAATCTATATGTCAATTTTGGGAAATATATGAGTCATATATATAACAACAGTAATGAGTCTTCTGATTCATGATATGTCTATTTAGATATTCTTTTATTTCTTGAAGTAATGTTTTTTAGTTTTCAGTGTACAGGCCTTAACATATTTTTTGTTAAAAGTACCCTATTTTATACTCTTAAATTTTACTGTAACTGCAATTGCTTAACAATTTTGTTTTCTTTCTTAATTTTTTGAGTTGGCATCTCACTCTGTTGCCCAGGCTGAAGTGTAGTGTCATACTTACAGCCACCGCAGCCTCAAACTGCTGGGCTCAGGGTGATTCTTCCGCCCCAGCCTTCCAAGTAGTTGGAACTACAGGTCCACGCCACCACACCTGGCTAATTAAAAAAAAAAATTTATTGTATTAGTGAGATCTTGCCAAGTTGCCCAGGCTGGTCTCGAATCCCTGGGCTCAGGCTCTCACCTTCACCTTCAAAAGTACTGGGGATACAGGTATGAGCCACCATGCCTGGCTAACAATTTTGCTTTCTGTTTGTTTGTGGTATACAGAAATTAAAAAAAATATTGGTCTTATATTCTACAACCTTGCTAGACTTATTATTTGAGTGATTTTTTGTAGCTTCCCTAAATTTTTCGTATAAATGATCATGTCATCTACAAATATAGTTTTATTTATTCTTACCCATTCAGAATATACATTTTTATTTTTCTTGCCTGATTACACTGGCTAGAACCTCTAGTACAATATTGCATAGTAGTGTTGAAAGCAGATATTCTTTCCTTATATCTGCTCTTAGAAGGAAAACAGTTAGTCTTTTACCTTTAAGTATAATGTTAGTTGTAAGTTTTTAGATACATGCCCTTTTTCAGGCTGAAAAACTTCCCTTCTGTTTCTAGTTTTCAGAGAAACTTTATCATTAGTGGATATTGGCATTTGCCAAATGCTTTTTCTGTGACTGCTTAGATGATCAGATGGCTCTCCTTTAGATTGTGTTATTTTTATGATAAATGGCATTTATTAATTTTATAATATTAGAATCAATGCTTAGAATATTGAATCAGCTTAGCTGATATGAACTTCACTTGACCATGAAGTATTATCTATTGTATTCATTTTGCTAAAATTTTGATTTTTTAAAAAAAAAAATCTGCATTCTTGAGGAATACTTGTCTTTAATTCACTTTGTTGTAATACCTTTGTTTGGTCTTGGTATCAGGGTGATGGTGGGTTTATTGACCGAGTTAGGGACTGTTCCTGACTCTTCACTTTTCTGGATGAGTTTGTAAGGAAATGCTATTATTTCAATCTGAAACATTAGTTAGAATTTACCAATGGACTCATCTTTGTAAAGCTTTTAACTAAAAATACAATACAATTTTGTAATAAATATAGAATTATTCAGGTTATCTAATTCTTTAGTGAGATTTATTTGTCAATTTCAAAGAATCTGTTTACTTCATTGATGTGGTTGAATATACTGGTACAGTGCTGTCCACAACCTTTTATTATTCTTTTTTGTTTGTTTGTTTGTGAGATCTGTAGTGACATCCTTTGTTTTTATTTTTTTATTTTTTGAGTTGGAATCTCACTCTGTCACTCAGGCTGGAGTGCAGTGGAACACTCATGGTCACTGTAGACTTGACCTGCTGGGTTCAGGTGATCCTCCCACCTCAGCATTTCAAGTAGCTGGGGCTACAGGTGTGCACCACCATGCTTGGCTAATTTTTTGATGTATTGTAGAAACAAAGTCTCACCAAGTTGCCCAGGCTGTTCTCAAACCCCTGGACTCAGGCATCCTCTCACCTCCATCTCCCAAAGTGCTGGGATTACAGGCATGAACCACCCCGTCCAGCGGGATATCATTGCTTTTGCTCTTTGTGTTTTATATGATTCCTGAGGAGTCTGGCTACAGATTTGTTTTATTGGTCATCTCAAAGAACCAAGTTTTGATTTCACTACTTTTTAAAATTAATTTCTGCTCTTTATTATTTTCTTTGTTCTATTTACTTTCGGTTTAACTTGCTCTTCTCTTTCTAGCTTGTTAAGGTGGAAACTTTGGTCATTGATTTGAGATTTTTTTTTTTACTTTTCTAATTCTTTTCTTTTAGCTCTGTCATACAAATTTTGATATGTTGTTTTTGTTTTCATTCAGTAAATCTTTTTTACATATTCTTAGGAAGTCTCAGGTTTGAATTAGGAATTTTGCAAGAATTCCCCTTTCATCGTCTTAATGCCCTGCTTTTTTTTTTTTTTTCTATTTTATACTAATTTTTCCAAATAATAATCTGGATGCATTAAAAAAAACTACCTCAGCCATTTTTTAGAATGGGAAACAGAATTAAAGATATAAATATTGAGACAATTATGTAGAGTCACCTTTTAGGAGAGAGATTTATCTCAATAAGGAATGCTATTCTTTCAGAGGAAATGCATGAGTTGGTGGAGTCCCATGAAATATGCATTTAAGGAGATTTATTTTTGAGATAGTTCAAATGGCCAGAGTACAACTATAAATTGCAACTGAGTTCAAGAACTCAAACTTGCATTTGTTTACTGCTTTTAGTTACCAATTTACCCCCTTTGGTTTCATACCTGAGATATACATAGGACAACCATGTTATTGATTGCCTATTATTTTAGTGATGAAAGGAATGGGATAGAGACATTAAGTGATATGTCCAAGTTCAAATAGCTTCTAAGTGACAGAGCTAGAATTCAAACACAAGTTCTTTGGATCCAAACCTTTTATTGCTTCATACCACTGGTTCTCAAAATATTATCTGCTATCAGCAGCATAAGCATCAGCTGGGAACTTATTGAAGATTCAACTTCTCCCTTTTTCCAGATCTACTGCATCAGAGATCCTGGCGGTGGGATCCAGTGATCTCTGGTTTAACCCAGCCCTTCAACCCGGGGTGACTCTGGTGCCCAGTCAAGTTTGAGAACCGCTGCTCCATACCCTGGTTCTTTTTTTTTTTTTTTGAGTTTAAGTCTCATTCTATCACCCAGGTTGGAGTACAGTGGTACACTCATGGCCACTGCAGCCTCAACTTGCTGGGCTCAGTTGATCCTTCTACCTCAAACTTCTGAGAACCACAGGCGCGTGCCACCACACCCAGCTAATGTTTTTATTTATTGTAGAGACGAGGTCTCACCAAGTTTCAAACCCCTGGACTCAGGCAATCCTCTTGCCTCTGCCTCCTAAAGTGCTGGGATTACAGACGCGAGCCACCGCGCCTGGCCTCACAGCCGGGTTGTTAATCATGACTACAATGGGAAATCGCATGGACGCTTGTGTCCTGCCTTCCTGAGTGATGGGACTTGTCAGAAATTCCCAGGTGATGCTAATATGCAGCCAATATTCACAACTACTGCTCTTCAGCCTGGTGCCTCTATTAATGTGACTCAAGATGTTTTTGGATTAATGTCACTGTGTTCTCACAAGTACCTTTCTTTCTAGGTCATAACAGTCAACACCAGCTGTCAAAGTGATCCACTGAATCCAGAACCAGGGGAAAATGACATCTCAGAAGAAGAGAGGTGCAGCAAGAACTGGCTCACGGTGTCCAAATTTAGTCAGATAAGTATGTAATAGTCTACAGTCTTTGATCCCCACAACCCTGGTAGAATTTTCTCAGGGTCTGATCTTTAGACCATTGGCGGTCTCTGCTGTTCTTTCAAGTGGAGTTGAGGGAACAAGAAGGTGGCAACACATTCTTAGAAAAATAGCTCATTTCTGTTTTTAATTTTTATGTAAGGGGCAAAATTTCATTTGTTTGAAAGAAATCTTGAGAAGATAAGATTTAGATAGCCTCTTATATTAAAGCTGTTGAACTCGATGCAGCGTGTATTCCCCAGAGAATGTTCATTTAGTTTGATTTATGAGATAGGAGATTGTCTGATTTCACAAATTGTCAAGGTACATGTGACACTGATATGAACCCTTACAGAACATTCAGTGGGTTGACTTGTATCTGGTTATTTACTACTGCTTACACGTAGCATTTGTTCTATGAGCAAATATCCCTTAAGCTTAATAAAGGCATTTGTAGAAGAGAGAAGACAGATCAGGCAGCTAGGAATGAAGACTATAAACTGCATGGAATGAGAAATAAGTCTGGTCAGGTAAGATCAATGATCACAACTTTGGACTTCTTGTGTTAGATAAGAGACCTTTGCCAATTATTCAACAGAAAGGAGTATGCAATTAAGGCATCATACAGTTTTAAAAAGATTTAAAATACTAAACTTAAGGTACAAATAGACATTGTATTGAAATTTATGCTATTGTGTTTCTTATAAATTCTGCTTGCTTTTATGGTTAGTGGTTCCCAGCCAAGGGGTGATTTTACGTATCCCCCTGCACCCTCTCTATGAGATACTTGGCAATGTTTGGGGACATTTTGTTTGTCACAACTAAATTGTGGGGCAGGAGAGGGGAATGCTTTTGGCATCAAATGGGTAGAGTCCAGGAATGCTGCCACATCCTACAATGCATGACATAGCCCTTCCCCCTGCAAGGAATTATCCAGCCCAAAATGTCAGTGCTCAGGTGGAGAAACCATGATTTATGTTTAAGAAATACTCGATTGTCTGTTAAATCACTGAGAATCAAGTGGACTCTAAGCTGAAAGAGACATTAGAAATTAAATTATTCAGAACCCATTCAATTTATAGATATGGCTCAAGAGCTTAATTGCCTTGCTTTAAATTACAGTTTACTAGAGCTCATAAACTTGAATCAATCAAATCCCATACCTAAAGACATAATTCTTGGACCGATTATAATTATATTCATTTTATTGTCATATTTACATTATATATATTTTAAATAAATAGTATAATCTATGTTCAGGTTATTATATATCATTCTTACATAAATTATTTAAGTACTTTCCAATGAATTTCAAACAGAGAAAGATACAAGTGGCAGGAGGTTTCTGGGCTAGATTCTCATTAAGTCAGATGATGAGAGGGGGAGGTAAAGGTGAGAAAATAAGCTGATCCTGAGTGCCCAGCTAATCTGAGTGAGTAATGAGGCCCACTGTCTTCCTTGAACCTCGTCCAGAGTTGAAAAGTTTATTTTTTTTGAAACATGTCCGAGTTAAGAATTAATTGAAAAAGAATTTTAAAAAACTAAAGTTTATGCCCTGTCAGGTAGCTCTCTTTAAATACAAAAAGTAAAGTTCTGAAGAAATCAACTATGAAAAGAAGAAATATATACTTAGCTTTCCCTATAGGTATTTTAATTATAAGACCTTGTTATCATCGATACCATAGTTATCATAATTTTATGATATTCCAATATTGCAAGGAATATCATATATGAAATTTTATGACTTTCCAAATTTTTTTGACACTTCTTATAGACTTTTTTTTTTTTACAGCACAAAATCATTAGGAAAAAAAAAGTTTGAGACCAGCCTGGTGAGACCTCATCTCTACAATTAAAAAAAAAAAAATGAGCTTGACATGGTGGTTTTTGCCTGTAGTTCCAGAAGGCTGAGGCAGAAGGGTCACCTGAGCCCAGCAGGTCAAGGCTGTGGTGGTCATGAGCGGGTCACTTCACTCTAGCCTGGGCGACAGAGTGAGACTCCAACTCCAAAAGAAAATGCAACTGTTACTTCCTATACTTAGTCAGGATTCCTAGTATGTATTATTCTCGGAATTAATTCAACTGAGTATTTATTAAATAATTATTACGCACCTACTGTATGCAATAACTCTGTAGGTACTATCTATAAAAAAAGATAAGAATAATGTTCCTAATCATACTTTTTAAGAAAAGGCCAAAATTAAATCTATTTATTTGATGGCATTTCATTTTAGCTTTCTTTTGTTGTTTTTTTTCTTTTTAAGTAGCCTACTGTGATGGTTGATACAGTTGCTAAGGAAGGATTCTAAACAATTTGGAATTGAAATTTTACATAATTAATTAATATATTTTGTGAGTTAGCATCTCATTCTGTCACCTGGCCGGAGTGCAGTGGCACATTCTCAGCTCACTGCAGCCTCGACCTCCTGGTTTCGGCAATCCTCTCACTTCAGCCTCCCAAGTAATTGGGACTACAAGTGAGTGCCACTACACCTGGCTAACTTTTTGTAGAGACGAAGTCTCATTATATTGCCAGGCTAAATTTAATATGTTTTAAATAAAGCTTGGGCAATAGGGTGCAGAAGAAGGTAAATGTAAAAAAAATTACTAAAGGTGTTGTTCTATAAGAGGACAGATTATGGATCATTTAATTCCTAACTTTGATAGAGAAGGGTAAGTTTTTATAAGTGTAAAAGTAACTACAGAAAAATAGAAATAGACTATATAGCTTCCAACCTCTTAAGAAAAAACAAGATAAAGGAAACTTGGTAAAACTTGCTAAAAACAGAAACAGAAAACTATATCCAAGTTTAAATGAATGTACTGTGTTCAGCTTTGTCTATTTGGGAGCTGTGATTTGAATGTAACACATTTTCATGTATTTTATAATTTTTTTTCTTCCTTTTTACAAGGTCTAGAACCTTATATATATCAAAAAATGAAAACTAAAGAAATTGAACAACGTGCTGTACAAGTCAGCGCTTACCTAAAGCAGTCCCAAGAGGTAAAAATATTTTGATAGTTTTTTTTTAAAAAATCAAGTATGCTATGCTCTCTTGGCTATGCTCGTTTTACCTTTATGTCCCTTAATTGGTTTCTGTTATCTGTTGGCATTCAATTTAATCTTTGTTTTGAAACTATGCTTAGTTGAATCCCTGCTCTGTTTTTTGTTTTTGTTTTTACTCCCCCCCCCACATTAGTCTTTCTTTGTCTTTCTTTTTTATGCGATTTACCTATCTACTCAATAATTGATCCTGGGGAGGCTTAGCATGCACGAGAAAGAATTCAGGAATCTTTGAACTGTTTTCAAATATATGGAAGTTGTCATGTCGAAGAAAAATAAGATATTTTCTATACACTTTTAAGAGGTAGATCTAGAATCAACATATAGAAGCTACTGGGAGAGACAGATTTCAACCCAATCTGAGGAGCAATTTTTAGCAATTGGAGCTTTCCAAGCATGGAATGGGTTATTTCTGGAAGTAGTGAGTCCTTTGCTAGTGCCATCAGTCAAGCATAGACTGAACAAACCTCCTTGCAGGCATGATGGAGGGTGTTTAAGCATTGCAGGGTAAAGGACTCAGTGTTTCTTGAGTGCTGAGATTCTCTGTTTTTTGCAGTCTGTTTTTCTTACCATCTACAAATACGTGCCTTGTTTTAGTGTCATCCGCCACGTGGGAAGTGTGACTAGTTAGAGTAACCCAAGAAACCTAATTTTAAGTCTTCATTTGAATATTATCTGTTTGAATCGGAGAACTGTTGAAACATGACCTGTATGAATGTATACTAACAATGTCAGATGTTTTTGTAGGAATAGACTTTGAGAAAGTTTTTGAAAGTAAAATGTAAGACTCCTTGAGGATAATTGAAGGCAGAGACTCACCTGTGTTCAAATCTGGCCCTGCCACTTTGTGCATCTCAAAGCCATGTACGTCGATTAATTCTCTAGTTTCATTAACTGTATCTCTAAAATGGGACCAGTGCCACCCTTATGAGATTCTTGACAGTGGACAACAAAAATAACATTATGAAAATGGCTTGAGTATAGTAAGTCTCAAGAAATAGTAGTTGAATTTGAATAGGAAATACAATGAGATAAAGTCAAGGTAGCATTATTTTAAATAACCATCATCTCCTGGAATGATAATTGACTGAAGACAGGACTGATGATGTCATGATCTATGTTGTCTGTCAATTTGTACCTTCTGTCTTTCATGTCATTAACTGATTTTATATATAAGTCCTATTTCTGTGAAAACTGTCATATATTACATTTTATCTTTGATGTTTCCTTAAAAGTAATTTTATTCTGTTCAAGTCCATCAACACATTGTGTGTACACTGATATTGTACTCATATTAGGCATCCTTCTAGCTTGGGTTTAGTATGCTTATTAAAAGAGAAATATTGAGCTAGAAGAAGGAAAAAGAAATATTCTCCAAAGAGCGTGTTTTGCAAACACGTTACTGGAAACTTGTGGTGGAAGTATGTTGGGTGCTCATGGAATGGCCTCTCCCTTTGCTCAGGATCCAAGTGAAAACTCTTTGTGGAATTCCAGGAGCACCAGCCTCAACAGGAACTCCCTGTGAGTATTTTTGTATGTGTCTCTCTTTAAAGCGTCTTTGGCTTCTATTTTTTTGACCAGATTAGGAACAGAAAAGAAAAGGAAAAAACGTGCATGTCAAATGACAGTATTTTTCTTTTGTTATCAAGAATGAAAACAATTTCTTCTCCATGTTTTTCTGTTTCTGGCAACAAGATATCACTTGAGTACCTTTTAAGATGATAGTGAAGCAGGGTGCAGTGGTTTATGCCTGTCATCCCAGAACTTTGCGAGGCTGAGGCAAGAGAATCGCTTGAACCCAGAGGTTCGAGAACAGCCTAGGTAACATAGTGAGACCTTGTCTTTCCAAAAAGTAAAAAAAAAAATTAGCTGGGTAGCCATGTGTGGTGGTATGTGCCTGGAATCCCAATTGAGGTAGGAGGATCACTTGAGCCCAGAAGGTTGAGGCTGCACTGAGCCGGGATAGGGGATTGTGCCACTGCACTCCAGCCTTGGTGATGGAATGAGACCTTATCTCAAAAAAACTCCACAAAACAACAAAAAATCCAACAACAACAGCAAAGCCCCCCAAAATAACATAATGAAACATGCTCTTACAGTAAATTAAACATTTGCCTTTTCAGTGTCAAAAAACACACATGGAATGATGATTATCATATCTTTTTGGAAAGATAAGATTGTGAATTTGCATTAAAGAATAGAAATAAATCTGTCTTGTTTAAAGAAACAGACTTAGACCGAACACCTGATTATGTTTAAGATTTAGTTTTAAAAGTAATTCTTTTTCCCCCCAATTTTTTCCTTTTAGCTTATGAGATTTATCTTTCTTATTTTTGGATTCTCAGTTACATCCTAATAGTCCAAGCAATAACTGAGAAAGATTTGGGAGGTGGGAACCAGGTAGATGGGATGGAGAGAGAGAGAATGTAAAGAAACCCCATGGTTGTGGACTTGAGTATGCGGGAATTTTATTTATTTAGAGAAATAAAATTTGAAAGCCAACCAAGAAAAGGTTATTCTCTTTTGCTTGTAGGGTTTTCTGGATCTTTCTAGTTGCATTATCAAATTAACTATCTATACAGCTACTGGGGCAGATTCAAAGTCATCTACTCTGCAGAAGGGCCAGTCGATATCCAGCAGGTAGAAGGTGCCCTCGGTTTGCAGTCAGCTCTATTGGGGAAGGTCTTTCTCTGGAACTTCCTTCATGGTCTCTGTGCAACCCTGCCTCCAGACTTAAAGGACACATGACTTTCTCCTCCCAAAGGTTCAGTAGTTTGTGCCCATGCAGAGTAGTGGGTATTGCAGCATGAAATTAAACAATAATTGTAATTGTATTTTCTTCCCTAAGGATTTTAAATACTGAAGATATTCTTTGAATGCATTTGTTCAGACTTGCCTGTGGCCACTTGTGCACTTGAGCAGGGCAAGTAACAATTTCAAGAGAGCTAATTTCAGCTTGTGAACATTTAGGGGCCACGTGGGCTAATGAAACTGATTTGTAGGCTTGTCCAGAGACACTCATAGACTCATTTGTAGGCATCTGCTTTGCATAGTTCAGGAACCCTTTAGTTTAATCAATCCAGAACAACACAAACACAGTTCAATCTTACATATGTTGTATGATCACATAGCTAATTAAAAAAAACTGCTTTTCAATTAGCTTAGGGTTTACACAGTAAATGACTTTCACAAATGATGCTTATTTTTCTATGAAAATAATATAGGGCTATAAACTTCCTTATAGATAAAGATAGGGATTAGATGTTATTTTCAAATATATATATTGTCAAGCATTGTTTAACGACAAGGATACATTCTGAGAAATGCATCCGTAGGTGATTTCATCATTGTGCAAACATCATAGAGTGTCCTTACACTTACATCATAGAGTGTCCCCACTGCTATACTGGGCTATATGATACCCCCTATTGCTTCTGGGCTACAAACCTGTACAGCATCTTACTGTACTGAATATTGTGGGCACTTGTAACACAATGGTAAGTATTCATGTATCTACACATAGAAAAGGTGCAATAAAATAAAAAATAGTACATGCGTATAGGACATTCATTATGAGTGGTGTTTGCGGGGCTGGACGTTGCTCTGGGTGAGTCAGTGAGTGAGTGGTGAGTAAATGTGAAGGGGACATTACACTACTGTAGATTTTATAAACACTGTATACTTAGGCTACATTAAATCTATAAAAAATTTCTTCAATAATAAATTAAACCTAACACTGTAACTATTTTACTTTATAAATATTTTCAGTTTTTAAACTTTTGACTTTTTTGTACTAACAGCTTACACACCAATGCATTGTAGAGCTGTACAAAAAATTTCTTTCTTTTTTTTTTTTGAGTTGGAGTCTCACTCTGTCACCCAGACTGGAGTGCAGTGGCCACTCCCGGCCACCGCAGCCTCGACCTGCTGGGCTCCGGAGATCCTTCCGCCTCAGCCTTCCGAGTAGCTGGAACTACAGGCACGCACTACCACGCCCAGCTAATTTTAGCTTTATTGTAGAGATGAGGTCTCGCCAAGTTGCCCAGGCGGGTCTCGAACCCACGGGCTCAGGCAATCCACTCACCTCAGCTCCCAAAGGCGCAGGATTACAGGCTGAACCACCAAGCCCGGCAAAAATTTCTTTCTTTATAGCCCATTCTAGAAGCTTTTTTCTACTTTTATGATTTTTATTTGTTTTTTTACTTTCTAAACCTTTTCTTTTTTTTGGTGGGGTTGGAGTCTCACTGTCGCCCAGGCTGAAGTGCAGTGGCATGCTAATGGTCACCACAGCCTCAACCTGCTGCGCTCAGGTGATCCTTCTCCCTCAACCTTCCAAGTAGCTGGAACTACAGTCATGCCCCACCATGCCAAGCTAATTTTTTGGATTTATTGTACAGATGAAGACTCACCATGTTGCTCAGGCTGGTCTTGAATCTGTGGGTTCAGGCAATCCTCCTGCCTCTGTGTCCCAAAGTGCTGGGATTACAGCACTTTTTTCCTTTTTTTTAATTTTTAAACAAAGACAAAAGCACGCATTTTTGTTGTCATGATTGTTTGCTTGTTTGTTTTTTGAGTTGGAATCTCACTCCGTCACCCAGGCTGGAGTGCAATGGCACGCTCATGGCCACTCTAGCGTTGATCTGCTGGGCTCCAGCTATTCTTCCGCCTCAGCCTTCCAATAGCAGGAACTATAGGTACATGCTACCATGCCTGGCTAATTGTTTGATTTATTGTAGAGTCGAGGTTTCGCCATGTTGCCTGGGCTGATTTCGAACCTGCAGGCTCAGGCGATTCACTTGCCTCAGCCTCCCAACGTGCTGGGATTACAGGTTGAGCTACTGAGCCCAGTCTAAGCACACATGTTAATTTAGGCCTATACAGGGTCCAGATCATCAATATTACTCTCTTTCACCTCCACATCTTATTTCACTGGAAGATCTTTTCTGGGGCACTAACACGCATGGAGCTGTCATCTCCTATGATAACAATGTCTTCTTCTGGAATACCTCCTGAAGGACCTGCTTAAAACTGTTGTATAGTTAACTTTTTTTTTAAGTAGAAGACGTACACTCTAAAATAATAAAAAAGAGGATAGTATAGTAAATCAACCAGTACCATAGTTGTTTTTGTTGGATATTATGTTCTATACTCAATAGAATGTGCTATGTTTTTCATGTGACTGATATGACTGGCAGTGCAGTATGTTTACACCAGCATCACCACAAACACATGAGTAATGTGACATTATGACATATGACTATGACGTTATGATGGCTAAGGTGTCACTAGGTGATAGGAATTTTTTAGCTCCATTATAATCTTATGGGACCATCGTCATATGGGCTGTCTGTCGTTATCCTAAATGTTATTACATAGTACATGGCTATATATATATATAAATATACAAACAATTCAATGTTGTTATCATTGCCCGTACTCTTTTTTTTTGATCATTGAAAGATTTAAAGCAGCATTATCTAAACAACTTCATTTTTTTCAAACAGGTTGAGAAGTTCAAATGGAGTTGACAGTAAGTTTTTGTATTTAAATGTTTTATTTTTTCATGTTATTAATAATGTGATCCACTGTCCTGCTGAGATTTTTTATCATTCCTGGAATTGTATTTATGATTTTTATCTACTGTACAGTGTGGAAAGTTCAGTAGAAAAATAGAAAGTTGAATATCATTCTCTGGACAAATTGAGACTGATGTTTGGTTTGAAATTTTTGGAATGACCTGTTTTTGACTGAGTTTTCCATTTTCTTTTTGAGTGAGGGTATAACCACTGTGCTATTTTAGACCGTTCACCCATTCTTACTGTCATTTTTTTTTACATATTGCTCATTAGCAGCCATTCTTAAGATTGCATGTGGATGCCTTGTCCTGTGTGGTTTCAGTAAGACTGTATGCCTCAAATGGCTAAATAGAGCTAGGTCATGTGAGACAGCTCCCTGGTAAAGCTACTCTCTGGAGCTACTTTCAAAGTTTACCACAGTCTACGAACTCCTTTCCATATTCTTGACCTCTTGATGGAAATTGCACACCTTCGTCTCCTACATCTTACTCCATCTCACCGTCTCAGAGTTTCAGTACCTCCTTTGCAGTTGATTCCTTCTCAAGTCCCTAACAAATTTAAGTCATTTTCTATGCAAAAAAAAGGTCTTTTTCTTGATTAACTAGATTTCAAGCTGCTGCTCCTATCCCTTGCCTCCAAATTAATTGAAAAAGCAATAAAAGTAGCTCTTTAGCTTATGGTATCTGTCCTTATCGCTCTCTTGAAACTCCATGTCAACGTCTAAGTCACATGACCTCTTTTCAGTCCTCACTGAACTGTCTTTGATGTTGACTGTTTTTCCTTCTTAGTACTCTCTGCTTTCTCAGTTTCCTTGAGACCCTTCTTCTATGGCTGGTTTTCTAGTTTTTTTGTTGACTTGCTGTTGATCTTTCTGATAGCTGCCTCTTCCTTCACTCAAGTTGGACATCTTAGTCATTTGTGATCCCATTTCCACCTCATTCCTCTTAGCCATCAACCTGGCCTTCTAACTCCATTCTAACTCCCACCCTGGCACACATTTTTAAAGCAGTTTTCATCTTCTTCGCTACTTCTACCTTAAAACCACCAACATTTATTTTCCTAATTGAAAATATATACTTTCATTTGCTCTTTCAGTTCTTGTTAGCATTCTGGTTGGATTCTCCCTCTTTAAACTTTCTTGTGTATTGGAATTGTCGGTATTTATTTATTTATCATTTTTAATTTTTGAATTGGGGTCTCACTCTGTTGCCCAGGCTGAAGTGCAGTGACCCAATCAAGGCTCACCTTAGCCTTGACCTCCTAGGCTCAGGCCATCCTGCCTCAGCTTCCCTAGTAGCTGGGACTACAGGCGCACACTGCCACACGCCACTCATTTTTTGATTTTTTTTTTTTTTATAGTGATGAGGTCTCATTGTGTTGCCTAGGCAGGTTTCAAACTCATGGGCTCAAGCGATCCTCCTGCCTTGGCCTCCTGGAATGTTGGAATTGCAGTCATGAGCCACCATGCCCGACTGGAATTCTCTTTTTGAAAGATAAATGATCTACTCACATAGAAGCCTTCAATGGCTCACCATCACCGAGAGAGAGACCGCCAACCCTGAGTCCTTCTCAGTGCTCTGGGCAGCCTGATCTCAGTGCAGGTTTCCAGCCTCACATTCATGATCCTTTTCATTCATTGTTTCTGCTTTGCCAGAAATGACCAACCACTTCTTACACCTCCATGTAGAGGTTTAAAATGTATCTCAATGTTCCCACACCCTCCTTCCTCATCTCAGGAAATGGCAACTCTGTCCTCCTAGTTCCTGAGGCTAAAGTCTTGCAGTCATATTTTTCTCTCATTTTTTCACGTTCCCTACATCCTATTCATCAGTAATCCTTCAGCATATGTCAAGCATCTGGGAACCTACCAAAGCACAGGCTGGGGTGGTGCTAGGAGGTGGAGTCACCTCATAAGCCCCGCCCCTCGCCGCCCCGCCCCGCCCCTCGAGGGCGCCTTCTTAGCACGTTCTTCCGCCCCTTTTCTGCGCACTTCCTTTTTTCCGCCATCTTGGTGTGCGCGGTAGACTCCGTTGCTCGCCATGGCTTCTCGCAAGACTTTCGGCATAAAGTGATTTCTAGCCAAGAAACAAAAGCAACATGGTCCCGTTCCCCAGTGGATTAGGATGCACAACTCCAAGAGGCGACATTGGAGAAGAACCAAGCTGGATCTGTAAGGAATGGCATGAGACGACACACCTTTATGCTGTAGCGAGGTCACCATTTTATCATATCAAGTTGAAGGTGTCGCCACAATCTGGACCGTTGGGCATGTTTTTATTGGGGAAATGACTTTTCTCTTTGTTTATATGTTCTGTACTAGTACACAGGCTTAGTACTCAATATGTGAAACTTTTGAAAAAAGTTATTACTTTGCTACTTCCACATAACTTCGTATTTTAAGTCACCATCAACTCTTCCTTGGCTTCCAGTATGATCTCCAAACTGTTGCTAACGGTCTGTTTCCAGAAAGCAGACAGAATAATCCTTTTTAAACTGAAAGCTGAAGGAAGTCACTCTTTTGCTCCAATGGCGTTCCATCTCACATCGCAAAAGCGGAGTCCAAACACAGTCTCTATGGCTCGGTGGTTCCACTTCTCCACAACCTCGGTGCATTTCACTCCGGCCACACTCTACTCCTTAAACGCAGCAAACGTGACTTTGCCTCAGGGTGCTGGCACCATTACCTAGAATGCTCTTCATTTATCCATGTGGGTATCCACTCCCTCTTTCAGGTCTGTGCTCAAATTTCACCTTATCAGGGAGGCTTTGCCTAACCACCCTATGTTAGAACAGCAACTTCCCTGTTCTCCACACTTCCTAACCCTCCTCGTTTGTTGCTCACGCATGCATACACACACAATAGTGCGATATACACTATGTAGTTACTAGTTTATTCATTTTCTATTTCTCTTTACTAGCATTTCCCTTTATCTGTTTTGATTACTTCTCTTGAGCAAAGACCACTGTCTGGCACACAGTAGGTGTTTAATACATGTGTTGAATGAATGTGAATAAGATCTCACAGCTCCTTAAATTGGGAAACCAGGTTGAAACTCAGCTTTATCAGATTCAGATGCCCATACCCTTTAAGTATTTCATACTATTTGTCTATGAAAACCCTACCTTGCAGGTGGAATTAATGTGTTCCCCAAACCTTTGTCTATACCTTTATTGATACACATCACTTCGCAAACTACACTGTGATTATAGTTGCTTGGTTTTCTCTCTTAGTATATTTGCTTTTCCGTAGGATGGGAACCACATCTTATTCACATTGTCCATGCCAACTATGACCTGTAGTCGGAGCTGAATACTTTTATTTTTTTTTAAAGCAACTGGATGAATTCAGAAAGGAAGAGACTTTTTTGCTGATCTTAAGTTTTACCAGTATTCCCCAAAGGAAGTGTTTCTTGCTCCTTTCCTTATCCAGCAACAAGAAGCCAGAGAGACCTGTAAAATTGGGCTCATTATACTGCTTACTCTGCTAGGTATAAAGCAGTTGCCACCATGAGACCAAAATTCTCCACTTTAATTTTGATTTTATGAACTGGCAAAACTGTTGCAAAGGATTTCTCTGGAGCCTTGTAATTTAGGACTGGAGCAGATAGAAGAGGATGAGTTGAACTTGGAGGAGGTGCTCCCAACACACTGTCATTGTGTAACCAAACAAATCCCTTGGTGCTGTAGTATCCACTGTCTTCTTTGCTTCTGGCATACAGCTGTTGATGTGTTTTTAAAATCATTTTGTTGTTGTTTTAGGTCAGTGAGGTAGTCTGCTAATAACTTGGTATTAATAACGTCTTTTGATGGGTACTGCATGTTAGTAGGGAGCTCAGAGAATCGTGCTTCTGGGATGTCATGACATGTGATGGGCAGCGGAGTGCCTTCTGCTACCCAGACGTGTAATTGGTTCAGAAGAAATACCTCTTTGAGGCTAATATTACCTGTCTTTCTTCAATTCCCTATATAAATATGTTTGGAGATATTACATTGATGATTGGAAGCTGTCAGGATACCATGTGCAATAATGTGGTTAAAGAATATTAGGCAAGCTTTCTCAAATACCAAGAAGCCATTCTGATTAACCTGTTCAATAATAACTTTGAAGGCAATATATTCATAAGCATGTATTTATCTCTAGCCAAGTAATTAAAATGCCAATCTTCCCTATAATTTCAGAGATCTCAACCTCCTTAAAAAGCCCTCAAGAGCCTCACCATCATTATTCAGGTAAGGACGCATGTGCACATAGACATATCAACTGAGCCAAATGTCTCTGATTTTGCACTTGTAAACAGAAAACATCAATGAATTCAGTATTATTGATATGGTTCTCAATTGGAAAAGTCATTCACTCTGATGGGAAAGAATGTTCACATTTCTTACTTTGCTATTGATTTGGGAAAACAAGTTTTCAGGATTTAAGAGAATTTGGATTTTTGCAAATGGTTTGTATTAGCGAGTTCCAAATTGTGAAGAAGAAAGATGACCTTGAGATCTAAAAGTTCCCTGCAAGCTCGAAGCCAGGGATTTCAGTGTTTTTGGTTGGGGATAAGACAGACCTGAAAGTAGTTCTTTGAGGGAGGATTTTGTACCCTCACTGGGTCCTAAGTGAGCATGGCCACTGAATGAATGCCAACCCCACAGGGTGAGCTCAACAGAGATGTTATTAAACAAAGATGTCAAGGGTCTTGACTCTCTTAAGCAGCATCACTTCACAGTGCTTCAGTTGTCTTTCTTCCAAAGTGGGAATAATTGTGCTTGCCCTTCCTGAGGAACAGTCTGCCAAAGGGCTAGTTGAGAATTAAGAGGAAAACACTTTGAAATGCAAAGCAATATAAACCAGCTGGACTAGTGCCATTGGGTGGTTTCTTGGGGGTCATTGCTCTTAGTGTTGGATGAGATAATACATGAGAGCAAGCCCTTTACACAGTCTAATGCGCAGTGCATGAGTAAGAGCTTATTGGCGCGATAATTACTGTTATAATTATATTGAGGTCATTTGTTGAGAGTCCAGTAATAGACTGCCTTATCCTGAATTCTCTGTGGTGAATAGTGAGTGTTTCAGTGGATTCCAGGCTCCTCATTCGAGGCTCTTATAATTGGGTCTTTCAGTTTGGCAGTAATCTATTATTTTGACTCCAGCTGTCAACTTAAGGAAGTCTCAGGTGAGGAATAATGTAACTCATATTGACTCTGATCTGCTAGGATGTGGCATTTACCAGGAAAATGCAGATCACTTGCTTCTAATTAAGATTGGTCTTCAGCTGTCTCCAGGAAAAGAAGGTGAACTGTGCAAAGTGAACAGTAGGTGTCCCCACAGTCCACTGTGCTTTGGATTTTGCATTGGAAAGGAAAATTGGAGAATAAAGACCACAGAATAAAATGCCATTTAAAAGAAAGTTCCACGTAGGGACGGGCCAGTATGTGATTTGGTATTCAAGAGAGTGGCGGTGGTTAGCCTTATCTCAGACCATGTGATATAATCTCATATAAAATGTTTCTAAGGCTGGCATACCTTTTCTGTTTACGGATAATTTATTTTTAATACTGTATTATAGGTAATATTTTAGATAATGGCAAAACAAGGAGTCTTTGAAATTAAATATCTTAGCATTATATGAATATATTGATGTGAAGAGACTTTCTGTAAATTCAGCTCACTGATGCGTACTGAAAATAGAAAATCTGTTTTTGTTTGCAGCCATTGAAAGGAATAATTTAATGAGGCTTTCTCAGACCATACCATTTACACCAATCCAACTGTTTGGTGAGTAGCGTTTCTACCTTCTTGAGGTTATGCCAGGGCAGAGATATAAAATCTGAGTAACTCAAAGAAGAAACCATGTTCCATTATTTTAGCTGAAAATTTTGTTTTGCTGGTAGTTGTAGTTTAGTGAGTTTCATTTCCTAAAATGAAAAGTCTTGTTAGCTGCCACGGCTAGCATTAGGGACGAAATCTAATTCTATGGGGCTGGGACCTATAATGAGCAGCAGTTGGGAAGAAAGCAATAATGTTGCACCTGGCATTCACCGACTCAAGGCTGGAAGTAAGTAGGAAAGAAAAGAACAAACCAACCATACATAATAAGCACAGAAGAAAGCAATAAATGTCAATATGGTGAAAGCCAACAGGCATCTGAAGAGAAATGCTTTGTGTATTGTTTTTTGTTTGTTTTGTTTTGTGTACACTAATTGCTCTTACCTCAGACTGCAAATGTCATTTTTAAAGACTGGAGTAGTAAAGAAAAACAAGCTCACATTAGCCAAGGATGTCTAAGTTTCTCCGTCTGCAGGGTAAGGCGTGAGCCAATTGACAGCATAACAAGGGCCCCCACACTGTCCCCGCACTGTCGTCGATCTTGAGTCTCCTCACACTGTTCACAGAGGGACAGACCAGGTTGGCTTCTGATTGTTAACGCAGATGCCTTCTCCTTCCACTTGGTTCCATGGCTGGTTTTGCAAATCAGTAACTGCTCTAAAGCGCTAGGGATTTAGAACTCCAGAGAGATCTTCAGTGGCATGTATCTGGGCACCAAGAATAAACATTTGGAAATATGTTACTAAGCATTACTGAGATGTGTTTATTGGTAGGGAATCAGAAGCAAGAGTGAAGGATGGATTCCCTTCTTGGCAAACCAGTACTGTGTTCACCAAAAACACAAAACAAAAAAAAAAATTGAAGCAAAGGTGTTAAGGAGGAATTTGTATAGCAGTTTAGCATTTTGTGTCTAAAATCGTTTTAAGTAGGACTGAGTTTGTATGTAAGGTTCTAGCTCACTTTAGCCATGTTAACATATTTACTTTATTAAGGGAACGTTATTTTCATCCCCATTTTTCTGATGAGGAAAATGAGGCTTTAAGTAATTTGTTCAAAAGCACAAAGGAAGGAAGGAGACACTCTGAGGTAAGACCTTGGTACTATCTGACACCAGCTGGATTAAACCAGGCATTCTCTCAGTAGAGTAATATCACCCCCAAGGGTACAAAAACATTTTTTTTTTTAGGCATAAAGCACAGATCTACATAACAGATATACACTATATTTTAATACATGTTAAGCATTCCCAGTCCAAAAATTCAAAATGCTTCCAGATCCAAGATTTTTTTGAGTGCTAATATGTCACAAGTAGAAAATTCCACACCTGATCTTATGTGATAGGTCACGGTCAAAATGCTGTCAAAACTTTGTTTCATGCACAAAATTGTTTAAAATATTATATAAAATTACCTTCAGGTTATGTATGTAAGGTATATACAAAATATTGGCCAAGTGCGGTGACTCAGACCTATAATCCCAGCACTTTGGGAGGTGGAGGCGAGAGGATTGCCTGAGCTCAGGGGTTCAAGACCAGCCTGAGCAACATCGTGAGACTTTTGTCTCTACAACCCATCAAAAATTGGCATGGCGGCACATGCCTGTGGTTCCAGCTACTTGGAAGGCTGAGGTGGAAGGATCGCCTGAACCTGGTAGGTGAGCCCCAGTAGAGAGTGCCACCGCACTCCAGCCTGGGCAACATAGTGAGATGCCAACTCAAAAAAAAAAAAAAAGGTATATAAAAAACTTCAATGAATTTCTGTTTAAACTTGGTTCCCGTCCCCAAGAATTCTCATTATATATATTTACATATTCAAAAAATATGAAAACAATTCAAAATTTGAAACACTTATGGTCCCAAAGCTTTTTGGATAAAGGATACTCAGCATGTATTAATATGTCATGAGAAGAACCATTTGTTTCTAATGGTTGTTTCTATTGTCTAATAAGATTCTTTAGGGGAATAATAATGACCAACACTAGGTTAATAATCTCTTTAGAAGTATTTGTCTTTAACAGAAGAAGCATATCCTTACTACTTTTGATTTTATTGTTATGGCCTTCAGTAAGAACAACTTAATTCTTGTGTGTTCTCTGATACTTTGTTTCTTTTCCCTCCCCACATTTACAAGGTAATACATAATATGGAAACATGGGCAGATCTGTGTCCTTATTCTGTTCTTGTTCCTGCTTATCCTATCCTCCTCTGATCTTTGGGCAACTAAACCAATTCTGACTTGATATTTGGGATACTGTCCATGTCACAGACATGGTGATGCTATTGAACTCCTCATCTTCCCTTTTCATTGCAGCTGGAGAAGAAATAACTGTCTACAGGCTGGAGGAGAGTTCTCCATTGAACCTTAGTAAAAGCATGTCCTCTTGGTCCCAGCGTGGGAGAGCTGCAATGATCCAGGTGTTGTCCCGAGAGGAGATGGATGGGGGTCTCCGCAAAGCCATGAGGGTCATCAGCACTTGGTCAGAGGATGACATTCTGAAGCCAGGACAGGTTTTCATTGTGAAGTCATTTCTTCCTGAAGTTGTGCAGACATGGCATAAAATCTTCCAGGAAAGTACTGTACTTCATCTTTGCCTCAGGGTAAGTCTGAAACTCAGAGACCCATAACCCAGAGGGACAGGGTGAAGAAAAGAGATGTGGCTATATTCTTTTCTAAGTCCATTATCTTCAATCCAAAGAGAAACCTATTATTTTTTAGAGGTAGTAGTTTTTCTTATTTTTGCTTTGTGGGACTTTTGCTTTTGGGGTAGAGAGTAGTGGGAGCGGAATAAGGCTAAAAATTACATTTGGGCAATCTCTAGTAATTTATGATGATAGGTGTGTTATAGTAAACCAGCATTTTTGCCTTTGGAAGGCTGAGGTGAGTGGATTGCCTGAGCCTGCGGGTTTGAGACCCGTCTGGGCGACTTGGCGAGACCTCATCTCTACAATCAATCAAAAATGAGCCGGGCGTGGTAGTGCGCGCCTGTAATTCTGGCTACTCGGAAGGCTGAGGCGGAAGGATCGCCGGAGCCTAGTGGGTAGAGGCTGCGGTGGCCGGGAGCGGCCACTGCACTCCAGTCTGAGCGACGGAGTGAAACTCCAACTCTCAAAAAAAAACAACAAAAAAACCAGTATTTTTTATCAATGCTCCCTGTTTTGTAGGAAATTCAACAACAAAGAGCTGCTCAAAAACTGATCTATACATTCAACCAAGTAAAACCACAAACTATTCCCTACACGCCAAGGTAAGGAAATCTTGGCACCCTGGCTTTTCATTTTAAGTAGAAATTCCTACTTAGCGCATTAGTCATGAGACATCAGACCTATGGGGAAATTCCTCATGACCTTAGTTTTTAGTTCTTTCTTCCATAATTTTGGATATTGGAAAAGGAAAATTAGACATTCCCTGGATACCTTGGCTTAAATCACTGAACTTACATAAGTAGAAAAATGAAGTTTAGGCAGAAGCCGTGCTAACATTTTAATTATGTGAAACAGACAGATCCTAGGTGTAGTTACTAATGTCCAGGAACATTAGGGCAGAAAAAAATTTCTGTTGTAAACATGATTTCTTCTCAGAATATCTTATAGAAGTTATAAACTTTGTGAGAATGAACTCTTTGTTACTTTCACTTGAGTGTCTTCATACACTTGTATTCATTAATCCAAACAGATAATAATTTGGTACTGAGGAATTATAGTAAAGCTTTATTGTTTCATTTTACAAGGAATTTTACAGAGCACAGCAAGAAAAATTGGGTTTGGTACTCATAAAATATGAGTTTCCTCAGAGGGAAAAGTAGCAGGTCAGCATGGGGAAAATACTCTCAACCTTTACATTCCACCCTGTCCTTAGAAAAGGCAGGGCATATTCACTGAGGCTACATCATATCAGAGTTAGGTAATCTCTCCTGCTGTTGCCTATTCATTAAGGTCAATCCCACTTTTGCTGTCTTGTGGTAGATCAATGGCCTCTTTTCCCCCAACAGGTTCCTGGAAGTTTTCTTAATCTACTGCCATTCAGCCAACCAATGGTTGACGATTGAAAAGTATATGACAGGGGAGTTCCAGAAGTACAACAACAACAACGGTGATGAAATTACCCCCACCAACACCCTGGAGGAGCTGATGTTGGCTTTCTCCCACTGGACCTATGAGTATACACGGGGAGAGCTGCTGGTTTTAGACTTGCAAGGTGATTGAAGATATAGGACTTGAGTAAGCAAGAATGAGGCAAAGTGTGAAGAGATCTTGTGAGAACCAGGATAGGCAACACATAGAATTGCTTTACCTAGCTTTGAAGGGAGGTGGGGCATTTAATTCAGAGACATTGTACAGTGATGATCATGATATCTACTATATTGTTTCCCACTTAGGAAGGCAAAATGTAGGCAAATGGTTAGCTGCTTAAAATGTAAAGACATGGAAAATTTTGAACAAAATGGGGAATGATTTTTGTACCAAATCTTTCCGTTTTATGGCTTCACTTAAGTCTTACATTCACAATAAAACATAGGCATGCATTCTTACATATAGGAACGTTTAAGTTCTGGGCATTTAAAAAATAATTTTGAGCTCATTGCTTTAGCAATTTATAATTTAACTTGATCTCTTTGCTGTGTTCCTTGTTATAACAGTTCATAGAAGTATACAGTCTGAGAGAGGCGACAGTGCAGTCTTAATTTCATGGAAGCCTTTGATCACATCTCTCAACACCTCACATGTGATTTGTAATCCTCAGCACAAAACAGAGTTATCTCCAGCAGGCTTTCCTTGCAGGAACAGAACAAAATATGTATTAAGGTCAAAGTTTAGTCCTTAGGCTTACTGACTGGAGCTTTGGTTTTAAGTAAGGGATTTAGCCCAGGAACTTTCATAGAAGTTATCTCATTTAATCCCAGAAGCAGCACCTTGTGGTAGATATTATGGGGAATTTAGGCCCAGAAAGTTTAAATAACTTGCCCAAGGTTGCACAGCTACTTAAGGAAGAGCCAGGATGCAGACTAAAGCTGGTCTGGCCATCCGTGTTCTTTTCTTTTCTCTGTACTGTTCTTGTTTCTTTAAGAGTTTCATACCTAGAGGATATAGCCATCTTACGGTTCACTTAAACAACTTGGGTCTTTTTCTTGTCCTCTCTGACTTTCTCAACTCTCCAGTTCTGGGGCTTCTATACAGAAAACCAGGCTTGGCGGCTGGAAAATGTCAGATAAACAGACAATTCCAGGACATTGTGAGCAATGTCCAATAAGACTGCAAAGTCACTTTGATTGAAATTTGTGTCACATGCTCCAGGATGTATGTACACTTTTAAAACTACACGTAAGTACTTTCGTACTTTGAGATTTCTGCTAGTGACAGAGTTGAATTATATTTTTAACCCTCAAACACAGTGTTTTAGGTAGCAATATAAACAAAATTAAAATGACCAAGATGATTCAGCTTTTAAACCAGAAAGTAGTTGATCCGTATAAACCCGGAGCATTGATGCCCAAGGCATCTGTTTTTGTGGCTCAAGTTGGGGAGAGGTTGATTGTTTTCATCTGTATTTGACTGCTTGTGCTTTGAGTTTTGGGTGGAGTTGTTTAAAAAGGAAAAACAGAAGCAAAAAAACAACCAAAGAAAAACTTTAAGGAATTAATGATGACTCTTCAGTGTGTTTTGTATTCCACTTGAATAGGTTTTTGTTTAATGATGTTTATGTTTGGGGATTTTTATGTCTCTTAGTAATCCAGAGTGACATTAAACAGAACAAATGCTGCATTGATGGTCTTGGGGGGAAAAAGGGAATTAACTTTATTCTTTTACTGGGCAATTATGTGAATTGAAGAAATAGGCCACTCCAAACAAACTGTGTCAAAACATTGACTTTCAAAGAAGGGAAGATTGGCCATCATAGAATGAGCTTGATGAAATTTGAGATACTTATCAGAGAGTTTGACCAATTGGCTAGGCCTGAATTTATGAAAGAACGTGAATCCTATAATAGTAATTACAAACAGCTATGTTACTACTGCTACTACTAGCTGACATTTACTAAGTACTTATTTTGTGCCAGGCACTTGGCTAAAGACTTATATGCATTATTATATTTAATGTGCACCAAGGTGGAGAGGGGAAATGGGAAAAACAGAATGTGTTTTTTAAATCTCATAATGGTTTTTGATTCAGTTTTATATGGTGCTTAACTTATTTCTATTTCTAGACTTTGGAGAGATGTTGTGCACTCCCTGGGTGGTGGGAGTGGAGACTGAGACACTCAGGAGCAGCAGTTAGGAAGGGGAGCTCTGGAGTCACAGTGCTGGAGTCTGACTCCTGGCTCCACCATGAATTAGCTGTGTGACTTGGGAAGTGACCATCTCAAGTCCCACCTCCCTTATTTGTAAATGGGGAAAATCACATTTTGCACTGAAGTCATAAGATTGTTAAGGGGCTGGGATGAGATCAGCTCCTGACACAAAACCCTCAATAGGTGTTCTTGTTGTTGTTAGTATTAGTCTTTCTGTGGCTCTTTAAAGTGGAGGGGAGTCTCCCCTCAGCTATGAGACCCTGGTGGTGCTGCAGAGACTGCAGCTTGGTCTGTGCAGAATAAGACCCTGATCAACATGATGTGGCTCCTTACTGCTTAGGGGAAAGAAGGAGTACGAATTTCTTGGGAGTTTATTCTTTTCTTTTCCTCTTTGCTTTCTCCCAAGGGAGTGCCAGTCATAACCCAGAAGCTACCACACCAGGTCAGAAGCTGGACCAATCTTCTTAGGAGAGATTTGACCAATTTCCCATCACTTATAATTAGACTGAAGTTTTCCAGTCTCTTTCCACTTAAAAATCCTACATGTGGAGGCCTGAATCATCATCATTACACTAAATCCAACATTGAATTCCCAGAAATAAAAATGAAAAACAATTGTATTTCAAATTACCAGTGTTTCATAGCATTTTTAGCTTATATTTTTCAGAGGACATTTGAATAAATGACTTTTTATTCACCAAAGTAGTTTCCAGAACAAACCAACTTTACCATCAACAACATAATCATGAGTTCCTCTACAAAGAAGGTAGCTTTTCCCCATAGATGTAGAAGTGGTATGTTCAAAGGTAGTTAAAATCAGAATGTAGATCTGAGTTTCTCATAGGACTTGCTACATATTGCCTGATGTGGGCATTTGTTCTGTTCAAGTTGGTAAACAGATAGGACTGGGATTTTTAGATATTAAAATGTCTTATTTTTTCCATGTTTTTCTTTCTTTTTACATTTAAAAATGTAGTTTACTTAAAGTAAATTAGAGAGAGAAAGAGAAGGGAGAGAGAAAATTCATCTCCCCAAGGTGGGGGAGGGGACAAAGCCAGTACATGGCCACACCAGAGTCCAGCAAGGCAGTGGCCGCTGGCTGCTTGTGGTTGAGTCCTTTTAACCATTCTCCTTGATGGGGGAAGATCATCAAGGTGATTGGGTGGTGGTCTGCTTCAAAATATCTAGTAGAATACGTGGGTAAGAGTGGCTCTGATGTTAAAGTTTGCCAATTGGGTGATTCCTGTGTAACTAAGAGGGATGGGTGGTGGTGATAGTGGCATGACTGTGTGAATTCTAATGATTTTGTTGGTGCTCAGGGCTTCTTTTACTTTGCTCTTTGTTCTTTTTCTTTCTTTCTTTCTTTTTTTTTTTGAGTCGGGGTTTCACTCTGTTGCCCAGGCTGGAGTGCAGTGCACAATCAGGGCTCACTGCAGTTTCGACCTCTTGGGCTCAGATGATTCTTCTGCCTCAGCCTCCTGAGTAGCTGGGGCCATGGGTGTGTAACACCATGCCCGGTTTGATTTTTGGTAGAGATGAGATCTTGCAATGTTGCCAGGTTGGTTTCCAACTCCTGGGTTCAAGCAATCTTGCCTCAGCCTCCTAGAGTGCTGGGATTATAGGCATGAGCCACCGCACCTGGCCTCTATTCTATTTTTCACACCTTAGAAGATCTTTCTACTATTTGCAATCCCCGAAATATGTATTTATTCATTAATCTTTGAGCTGCTAGATTGGGCTTGGATGTAGAAAAGTTTGTGGATTCTCTTTCCCCTCATTCTTATGAGGAGTTTTATTTTGTTTTTTTTTGAGTCAGAGTCTCACTCTGTCACCCAGGTTGGAGTGCAATGGCACACTCATGGCCACTGCAGCCTTGACCAGCTGGGCTCAGGTGATCCTTCCGCCTCAGCCTTCCAAGTTGCTGGAACTATAGGTATGCGCTACACACCCGGCTAATTTTTTTAATACATGTTGTAGAGATGAGGTCTCACCAAGTTGCCCAGGCTGGTCTCGAACCCCTGGGCTAAGGCATTCCTCTTGCTTTGGCCTCCCAAAGTGCTGGGATTACAGGCTTGAGCCTCCATGCCCAGCAGTAGTTTTATTTGTTAGGGAACATAGCACTGTAGGGAAATGAGAATCAGAAACATTTTACTAATGGTGAGAAAATAAAAGTTCATTTAACAGAAGGACCTGGATAGAAGAGAGATAACAAAAATGACAGCATTTTTTAGTTTCCTATGGATCAGACACTTTGCTAAGCAGTTTGTGTACAATAGTTCATTTAATCCTCTCAGTAATGCTGTAAGACCCATTATTATTCCCACTTTCGATGACAAAACTGAGATTCAGAGAGACTAAGGAAGGTATCCAGGTCACACAGCTGGAAAGTGATGGAGTTGTGAGCAGAACCCAGATCCTTTGACTTCAGCCTAACAAGCAACAAGAGTTAAACAGATGCTGATGTGATTTTCTTAGACTTTTTTTCTTCTACAGAACTTCCTTTTTTCCTATGGAAATGACCTCTTTAGGTACTGTGCATATTCTTGGCTTAAACTTACAGTTTCCTCAGACATCCGGCTTAAAGCTTTCATCATTGCCGTAAACTTCAGGCTTAAAGTTAGGTCTGTGCAGGTAAAGGATTTGTAGTTTCTATTGATGGCACTTGGGATCATCTTTCCGCGTGTCGTTCTTTCTGTTTACTCCATGGTTGTGAAGGCAGGGTCTCTCTAGGCTGTTCATTCTTGTATATGTATTGAGAAAAGTATAAAGAGCCCAGCCTCTTTCTATAACTTTTTCTTTAAAAAGAGTGAAGACTGAGCCAATCGTATTTTGCATACTTCTTTTGTTTTCAGCATTCCTTTCTCTGTCTCTATTCAAAATCAGTGTACAAAGAGATTCTAAGTCAGGGTTCCTGGATAGAATTCAGAGGGTTCTGTAAACTTTGAGAAAGCAAATCTTACATATATTTTCACTAACCTATGAGTGTATTCATCATTTTTTTCCACCACAAACCACAATGGTATTAGCAGTACCAATGACTGTTTGCAATAGAAATTACAGATATTAACATAGCACATTACAGTATTGACAAATATCTCAAAATACTGTGGATATTTGTCACTTGTTGGATGTTGTATTAGTTAACAGACCTAAGCTAGAACCTTTTATTTAATCTACTAATAAAGAGGCACATGTATTTCAATGTAACAACTTAAAACATTTTGATAACTATATTTCTCTATATAGAAATAACTATATTTCAGTATCATTGGTTTTCTTTATAATTCAGTGTGTTCATTTTTAAAATTTATATTTATTTATTTATTTTGAGTGGGAGTCTCACTCTGTCACCCAGTCTGGAGGGCAGTGGCACGCTTACGGCCACCGCATCCTCGACCTGCTGGGTTCAGGCCATCCTTCCACTTTAGCCTCACAAGTAACTAGAACTACAGGCATGTGCCACCACACCCGGCTAATTTTTCTTGATTTATTGTAGAGATGAGGTCTTACCAAGTTGTTCGGGCTGGTCTCGAACTGGTGGGCTCAGGCAATCCTCTCACCTTGGCCTCCCAAAGTGCTGGGTTTATAGGCACGAGCCTCTGTGCCTGAACAAATTCAGTGTATTTAGATGATGTATTTTAAAACACTGACAAAGAGGGTCACGACATAAAAAAAAAAGTTGGTCAACTTCTACTCCAAGCTCTAGCTTATTATAGACCATTTTCCTAAGGAAGTTCGTTTCTTAGGGTAAAAGCCTATAAAGATTACATTTCCTGTGAAAGGTTTAGCATAGTAAGACATTCAGAACACAGTGGCCAGAGGCCAGGTGTGTTGGCTCATACCGGTAATCCCAACACTTTGTGAGGCAGCTGAGGCAGGAGAATCACTTGAGACCAGGAGTTCGATGCTGCAGTGACATGATCACGGCATTATACACTGGCCTGGTCAACAGAGTGAGACCCTTTTTTGGGGAAGGACTGCTTGTTGGAAAGCATAAGTTTTTTTTGTTTTTTTTTTCAAAAAGTAGATATAATACTATAAATTTCATAAAACTTTTTTTTTTTTTAAATTTTGTAGAGGCAAGGCCTCACTATGTTACCCAGGCTGGTCTCAAACTCCTAGGCTTTAGCAGTCTTCTTGCCTCACCCTCCCAAAGTGCTGGGATTGTAGGCGTGAGCCACGGCGCTCGGCCTCGTGTAACTATCAAATAACTTTTCCACAAAGTTAGTCTGTTTCAAGCAAAGAGAATCAGTGTTGATTAGAGAAAGATCTCAGAAATTGTTGGATTGTGCCCAAATGGTACATTCACCTATCGAACTGGCAGGCCTAAAACACTACCACAGTCGGAAATCACCTCGTCACCACTAGTATTTTATTAGATTCACTTTGGGTGTTAATCCTTGTTTTGATAAATTTTAGCTTTAAATTGCACCTATATTATTTTTTTAGGCTTTGATGTCATCTTTTAAAAGGAAAAATTTTTTAAAGGTGAACACGTTCAGAAAGTGCATGTAGCATAAGCATACATCTCAAAAGAATTTTCACAACTGACCACATAGGTGTAACCAGCACCTAGATCAAGAATTTAGTGTCGTTTTTATTCTACTGTTTATAAATTATATATGTGTGTGTGTGTGTGTGTGTGTGTGTGTGTGTGTGTGTGTATAAATAATATATAAAATCTGATGTGTCCTTTTGATGGAGCAGAGGTTGTGCCTGCAAAGCCACCCAGCACCATGTACCTTGCTGAGCATTGATGGAGTCCATTTAAGGAAAACATAAACTAATGGGAGGAACACAAGCTTTCATCCTGTTTTGACCACATATGGACTGGACACCCTCTGACAAATGACATAATTTTTTTGAACTTCAATGAACTCATTGATATAAATGAGGATTGAATATAAAAGGAGGCTACGAGGAGAATGCTTTTCATTTATAATTGCTGAGAATTAGAGAAAGTAAAAGAAGAGTATCTAGTATGTACAAGTGGTAAATGAATGACAGATGCCACTATCAGTAACTGTGAACACACCACTAAAACAATCATTTGCGGCCTAGAAGTTTATTATAACAGAGAGGTCTGCGGGAGACAGTGCATTAACTAAAATTTTCAGACATTCCTGGCCAATTTTATAGTACATTTAATTTACATGATGTTTAATTTACTACAGAATGACTGTGAGTTTTAAAATAAGAAATTAGAATTTAATTATTATTTTTTTGACGTTCTAAGAAAATGAAACCTCCATTTGCTAAATGAATTTTGTTTTTTCTTTTGAGGCGTTGGAGAAAATTTGACAGATCCATCTGTTATAAAACCTGAAGACAAACAGTAAGTTAATTTATGTGTTATCATTTAGAAAATTGCATTTAACACATAGTAAATGGTTTTTAAAATAATTTATAAACATATATGTTTCTTGCCTAGATCCTAGAAAGGCTTTGAGGCAGCTTATGTATATAGACCCAAAACAATAGGATTATAAAAAAACACAGGTTAGGAAATGGAGTAAAAGGAAAATATAGAAATAAGGGGAAATTTGGAATTAGGTTAGTACACGTAAGTGGAAATTATAAGGACCATTGCAGTAGCCAGAATTTGATTGCAGATTTGATTCTCAGTTTTCTAGTGGCCCAAACATGAACATATGGGTTAGTTTTGCCTCTACAGGCTTTGATGTGAAAACAGTTAATATCAAAGGAGAAGTACGATTTCCTTTATTGTCTTCACAATGGAGTCATTGCATCTTATGGGCAGCTTCTTCAATTACATGCTTATAAAACAAAAGCTGAGGGCATAAACCAGGTTTTTAAGAAACAGCAAATCTAGGAGAGGACAAAACAATGGGGCTTAAAAATATGAAGCATCAGGTTGTCTGTCTGATTTAATTTGGAGCTGAAATTTAAATTATGTAGATGAATGAGTCATCTCCCTGTCCTTTGATTTCCTGTGGACATTTTATCCCATAAGCAGGCTTTTGGGAAGACTTGGCGAGCATCTGAGGTTGTTCTTCTGTTAAAGGGGGAGTAGAAAGAAGGGATGGTGCCGATTAAGCACTGATGAATATGGCAGAGAACAGTGACTTGCAAACATGAGCTTGTGTCACAATTACCAGGAGAGCTTATTAAAACACAGATTATGGCCAGGTGCAGTGGCTCATGCCTGTAATCCCAGCACTTTGGGAGACGATCGCAAGAGGATTGCTTGAGTCCAGTGGTTCAAGACCAGCCTGGGCAAATTGACGAGACCTCATCTCTACAAAAAATAAAAAAGTAGCCAAGCATGGTGGCGCATACCTGTAGTTCCAGCTACTTGGATGACCGAGGTGGAAGGATTATCTGAGCCCAGCAGGTTGAGTCTGTGGTAGCCATGAAAGTGCCACTGCACGCCAGCCTAGGTGACAAAGTGAGACTCTGATTCAAACAAACAACCCCCCCCCCCACAAAACTACAACAACAAAAACATAGATTGTTAGGCCCCACCCCCAGAATTTCTGCTTCAATAGGTCTGGAGTGGGGCCAGATAATCTGCATTTCTAACAAGAATCCAGGGGAATCTGATACTGCTGATCCAGAGACCACTCTTGAGGACTGTGAGCATACAACAGTTTTACTTCTTAGTTGTCATATAAGATAAATGTCAATAGTTGACCTGTGGGTGGTAGAAAATACATAAAAATCAACATAAGTGGGGGCAATCAGTAAAATCTAAAATATTTACTTTCACTTCCCCGTAACATATGATATTCATTGCTTTAATGCAGTGTCTTTTACTGAACAATTTAATCTAAATATGTATGTTTCTATGCAAAGAAATCCATCTACTAAAAGTGTATTAGATATTTAATTGGACTAGGTAAGCTAGAGAAAATATAGGTGGCTCATATAGCTCATACACATCTAATTTTTGTGATATTTATTGGACTGTGGAGTCCATGTTGTAATCCTTACACACGTAAAGGCTTTATTATTTTTTACTTTACTAATGTGTTTTTAGCTAAGAATATTATTTCTTCAGTAGCCTTGTGTGCTTAAGAGTTAGTAATAGGAACCTTGTAATATAAGTACTTTTAAAATAATTTTGCAGTGAACCTTTTTTGCATATATAATGAACCAAGTTTATGTATACTCTTATCTATCATTTATTAAATTTTGACCTTGGCATATGTCATTTAATATGACCTGAATATTCCATCATCTAGAATTCTAAGATTATATTATCCCACTTGACAGTTGAGTATTTAATTGCATTCTTTAGGCCAGTGGGTCTCAATTTCTATTAAGGTCACCTGGAAAAGGTAAAAAAAAAAAAAAAAAGATGCCCAAGATTGGCATCAAATTAGAATCTCTGAAGATAAGGTCCTGATGTCTGTATTTTTTAAAAGTTCCCCATGTGATTCTATGGACAACCAGGGTTGAGAACCTTTATCTTGTGTCACCTTTATTTTGTATGACTTGAGGATAGGAACTCTGGAGACTAATTAGAATGGCACCATTGTGGCCTTCCTGGTTTTGTGGGTTACCCAATTTTGGGTGCAGTTGGTCTTCATAGTCAAGGTAACAAAAAGTACTATTTTCTCATGACAGTGGGGAATTTCATCTACATTGAAGCTCACGTTTTCAAATGCCCTCTTGTGTGCAAAGCCCTTGACAAACAAAGCGTAAGCCACAGACCAACAACCTTAGCATCATCTGGGAGATGGTTAGGGAGTGCAGTGGCACAATCATGGCCTCCTCAGCATCAACATGCTGGGCTCCGGTGATCCTTCCACCTCTTGCCTTCCAAGGAGCTGGAACTACAGGCGAACCCTACCACGCCCGGCTAATTTTTATTTATTTATTGTAGAGACAAGGTCTCTCCAAGCTATCTGGGCTGGTCTTGAATCTGTGGGCTCAGGCAGTCCACTCCCCTTGGCCTCCTAAAGTGCTGGGATTATAGGCTGAGCCACCGAGTCCTGCCGTAGTATAAATTCTAATACTGTTTCTAATGCCTATTGTCTCTTTCCCCAACCTTCTGCCTTGGTTATTGGTAGTTTGGGATTACATCTTTTTAGCTTACTGTCTTGGTAGTTTTGGGCATTTGACAAGTATGAAATGATGATGAGATGTTCTTTAGTAAATCTATGTATAGATGGCACTAATTAGCGTTTCCTCGCATGTGGAACCAAGCTACCACCTGCTTTTCCTGTGTTGTAAAAAATCTGGAAAACAGCTACTTTTTTTTTTTTTTTAAACTTGGTTATCTGAGACTGCAAGGCTCTAGGCATGCTGCAGGGTGTGGATGCAAATGAATGTCCCTACAATCTCTTTCACTCTCCCCAGAGCGGGAGTGGCTGAGCTCCTGATATATGCGTTTTGTAGTAATTTTGATTCTTTTGTCTAACTTTTGTGAAATTCGTAGAAGAAAGTGATTTAGCTTATAGCTTTTATCTGAGACTCAACGTTACATCTCTAAGTTGAGAGTTTTTATGTTTTATTGGGAGGAAAGAAATGGCAGGTATGGAATACATATGAGTGAAGTATTCCAACCGTGTCATGCTGGAGAGACTCTAAAAAAGAATTCTTCAATTTAAATGACTAAAACTCCTCCTTCATTTTCACTTTACTGGAACCAAAGAGTTCTGGTCTAAATACTAAGCGATTCTACTTTTTTGCCACCTTCAGTTTCACCTTATTGAAGTGGTTCCTTACCAGATGGACTGAGAGAGAGGAACAGTTAACAAGAGGCAGCTTATGCAGCCGGGTAAATACCACCAGAGCTGTACTTTGTAAGAGCGATTGAGTGACCAGGAAAGTTAATCCTGGGTGTCTGTTCACTTTGTCTTCCCAAGAGATTTCCTCCACCTACTCGCCTCAGAGCAAAGAGGCAATCTGAGATCAAACTGACATCAGCCCTCATTCTGAGCTTGGCACATCTTCAGAGCAGCTACTGTTATTCTGCCAAAAGGAAGTGGAAATTGAGATAAATGTTTCAATCCTCGGATGGAAAAAAGTCCATTTTTACACCACGTCCCTTTTGAAAAACCGCATTCCTTAGAAGCGAAGTTTATTGTTTCCTTTTGTGATAGTTTGCTTTTCTTTTTTCTTAAGACGTGGTATTTAAGAGCGGTAATTGAGTTCAGATTTTAAAATGTGCTGTTTCCACTCTGCATGTCATTAAAATAAAATATTAACTTTCATAAACTTTCTTGGGAAGTGTTTCTGGTATGCTCTGTTCTGTGGTGTTCCGAATGTCAACATCTGAAGAATAATGACTATATGCGATATGACAATGGATGAACATTGATTTCAGAATCTGTGGGGGATCTATTATAGAGTACTCAGAAGTGCCTTGTGTGTGTGTGTATTATGTGTGTGTGTGTGTGTGTGTGTGTGTGTGTGTGTGTGTGTGTGTGTGTATGTATACTGATTCTATTTGTAAACTGTCACCTATATATATATGTGTGTGTGTGTATATATGTATACTCATTCTATTTGTAAACTGTTTGTCACCTACATCGAGCATATGTAGATTACTTCCACAAACACATTGTCTAATAGTCTTGTCTTTCCACAAAGAGCCCAGCTGTAGCAATTTGCAGGGGGGGAACAAGTGACTTTTGAAAGAGCCATGAGGACTGGATCAAGGGTTTAGTAGGGTGTTTGTTTTTGAGGACAGTTATTTTAAGAAAAGTACTTGGGTTTGAAACAATGTGTATGCATCTTTTTAGAAGGTATGTTCCAATAGCAAATTTATTTTACTTTATGCCTTACCTTTACTTTGGGGTATTCTAGTGGAACATTTGGTAATGAATGTCATTCTCTCACCCCATATGCATTAAAAAGGATTTTGCTGTATTTTGTTTTAATGTGGTACATAGAAAATTCACTCCTCTATCAGATTAGCGTTGAAATGCGTTTCGCAGTAGGTCTTGGAGTTGGGTACAAAGATTTAAGTGCATTTGAATTTTAAATGTACAAACCTAACATTGTTGCTTCCCCAAAGTGCTCTGTTCTTTGTTGGCTCCTTCAAGTTTACTGGGTTACTACGGGATACTGTTCGGTATCTCAGAGAATCCTAGTTGAGCTCCTTTTTCTTAGCTGTGATCTAATTGATATTCTGATATTTCCTCTAGATCAAGAGGAATGGTGTTTGGACCAGCCAATTTGGGGGAAGATGCAATTAGAAACTTCATTGCAAAACATCGTTGCAACTCCTGCTGCCGGAAGCTCAAACTCCCTGGTATGCCACCAATAATTCTATTTTTCTCTAAGTAAATCTCTCATAGAACAACATCCTTTGTAACCTGGGATGGAGTAGAAAATCTTAATCACATTTTTATCTCATTCACAGTCATTCCCAGAGCCTGACTTTCTGACTGCAAAATTTTCAAGTCTCTAAAGGGATTAAAAGGACAGGGATTTGCTTTAGGTTCTGCCAAAATGTGATAAAACAACATGGGTCCCAATACTTGTTACAATCACTCCAAGGGAAAAGTTCTACCAACTTAAATGGGCCGAAATTTGAGTGAGGCCAGACTCTGCCCCTCCTCTTTGGATCCTGTCTGCTTCTGGCCGATGGCTGCACAGTGGTGCCCAAAGCTTGTCTCCTCTCTTCTCATTTACCCATTGGACAGTTGAGAGGGTGTGGTACAGATAGAAATGGCACTCTCAATTAAAGTAGTGCTTTTCACGACGAAAATCTGCCATTGTAAACACTTATTGCAATATATAATACTTTAAAATCTGATTTCATAATACAGCACACTTTCTCTGAAACCAATATGGTCACCAGAGAAAATATTCCTAATATAAAAGCAAGCAGCTGGAGGCCTGTGCCTTCCCAACTGACAGAGACAGACCTGCCATGTTCTTTTTTCTCAGAAGGGAGGCTTTCCGTATGCCTCAGTTTGCTCACCACTTTTCTTAGGTCACACCAAATTTGTCCTTACCGTGGGATTTCACTTATTTTAAGCTGAGTAGCCCTTCCTGCCTTACAATATGTGGTCATACTTTGAGTTGGAAATCAGTAAAAGAGCATCACCCATTGTAACCTGGGACAGAGCACATGTACATTTACAACAAAGGACAAGTTGTAATCCTGTTGATTTAGAGGTAGGGGGAGCTCTTGTGGACGAGACATAAAATGACTGTGATTTGGAGCAGACTTCCTGCCTCCAGTGGCAATGCCGTGTGTTAGCTGGGGTAGTGGTGAGGACAGGTATGAGAGGTAGGAAGATGAAAATCGAGTGACCAATGAGGTAAGGGCTGTAACTCTTTTTTTTTTTTTTGAGTTGGGAGTCTCACTGTCGCCCAGGCTGGAGTGTGGTGATACACTCACAGCCACCACAGCCTCAACCCACTTGGGCTCAGGCGATCCTTCTGCCTCAGCCTTCCAAGTAGCTGGAACCACAGGCATGCCTCACAATGCCCAGCTAATTTTTTGATTTATTGTAGAGGTAAGGTCTCGCCAACTTGCCCAGGCTGGTCTAGAACCCACGGGCTCAGGCATTCCTCTCACCTCGGCCCCCCAAAGTGCTGAGATTATAGGCGTGAGCCGCTGTGCCTGGCGGGCTATGACTCTTATAAAGGCCCCGGACTCACTCTAACAGATCACATGCCAAATCTGAGAAAAGGGATCAGCGCACAGCTGAGCTGCCCATTGCTTCCTCTCTGGTCAGATGGAGTTCAGAAAGGGGTTGGGGTAGGGTTAGGGGCATCAGGGCCTTGAGGTGAGGGCCCTACAGAAGGAGCTGACAGATATCTGAGTCAGCCCAGGACTGCAGCCTGGAGTCAGCTTATTAACTCATGATTCAACTCTTTAGTCACTGTTTTCTTCCCAAACCTAATTCATCCCACCCTGGGAGGGAGATCTCTATTCTTGGAGAGACAGGGCCTATATTTGACCAGTCAGGAACCAGGAAGACTTGAGACACAATTCACTGCTTCTAATCCTTGAACCCAGTTAGCTGTACTGCATGATTATGGATGTGGTGTTTGTTTTTTTTTTAAAAACACTACACTGGTGCTTTTTGAGTGAGTAATTCAATAATTTCCCCATTTCTAGTCTTAATTCATGTTTCCTTTCAAAAGCTTCGTTAGTTTTTAACTAACATTTAAGTGGAAATAAGAAATATACTCATTTACTGAGACATTTGGCAATCTGAATTTTAAAATGTTTAGTCTGGAAAACAGGATTAGAAGTGATTTTTCTTTTTTGTTTGATGACGTTTTGCTTTTAAAAGGGAGACAGTTTAGGATAGGCTCGTGGAAAGGGCACGAGATCTGCAGCCAGACAGGCCTGTGCTCACGTCTCAGTTCTGCTATATGACGTTGGACTTCAGTTTTCTTATCTGTAAATTGCACAAAATAGCACCTATCTTATAAAGTTGGTGTGAGGATTGATTTACATAATATACATTCATTCAATAAATGCTGATTATTATTAATACAATGTATATTAGTTTTACATCCAAACAATTCCTATTAGACATTAAAAGTTATATCAAAGATACATGTTTAAGGCTAGAAAATGTAATCAGTATAACACAAAAAGGTACACAAATATTTTTATCTACTAATTTATTGAGTCAGAGTCTCACTCTGTTGCCTAGGCTGGAGTGCAGTGGCACAGTCACGGCTACCACAGCCTCGACCTCTTGGGCTCAGGTGATTCTTCCACCTCAGCCTTCCAAGTAGCTGGCACTATAAGCACACACCACCATGCCCAGCTAATTTTTAAATTTATTGTAGAGATGAGGTCTTGCCTAGTTTTCCATACTGGTCTTAAACCTCTAGGCTCAGGTAATCTCTTGCCTCTGCCTCCCAAAAGAGCTGGGATTACCAGCATGAACCATGGGCCTGGCTAGGTACACAAATATTCAAAGCCCATTTTCCTGCATACCTTTGTCCCAAAAGTTAATTTTTTATTTTAATTTTTTTTCTACAAATGGAAGGAAGAGGCCTTAGGAAGCATAGGATCTGATAACTGAATGAAGCTTTTATACGTGGTACCACACTTGACATACAGCTTTTGTTGCAGAAACTAACCCCTGAGATTAGGAGTCTGCCATGTTGGCTGACCTTCCTGCCCCTGCCAGTCCATTAGATAGCGAAACACCTTGTTTCCAGTTTGGTCCCACTTAACTCTAGCCAGTTGTGCCTTATAGGTCACTGCATCTTGAATCAAGCAATCAAATATTTCAGTAAACAGTGCCTAAAATAGCACTGGTGGGTTAGAGCTGCACATGGGCAATGAGTGGGGGAAGAGGCCTAGTTTAGACATCATTGAGGATTTGCTTCCACATATCTATGACCTGAGAAAGAAGAGACCTCTTTGAATACTTGGCAAAGCCTAAAGTCCAGTCTATCTGCACAAACGATAGGTTCTTGGGGATCCACTATAACCTTATTTATCTTATTTGCAGATTTAAAAAGAAATGACTATTCCCCTGGAAGGATCAATTCTACCTTTGGACTTGAGATCAAACTAGAACCAACTGAAGGGCCTCCAGCAAAGGAGAGGGATAGAAATTCCCCAGAAGATCGTACACGACTTTAAAAGGGAGAGAAGCAAGAAGACCGTATGACTCGCCTTTCCTGCCACCAACCATTTGGTGACACACATTGATTGATGTAACACTGATTGCATCAGGGCCTCCTTGGGACATGTCTTCTGAGCCTCATGTCTCTCCCCATCCAAAGGCCCATTGATCTATGATGAGCCAGTTCTTCTCGATACTGACCTCTCTGCCATGCACTCTGCATCTCTATCCTCAGGTTCCACATGAAGACGCTTGGACGAGTCAGCTGGGAATACTGTTTCCTTATACCTCATTGCTTTAGCTGGTCTCTTGGAACCCTTGGAGCAGAGTGCTACACATTAATGAACCGGGGGGATGAATTTAATTTATTTTCTCACTGTGTGTGCAGACTGTACTCCCCACTGCTATTCATCACCTCACCCACAGATTGTATTTATGTCTATATATATGTAGGTAAAAAAGTTATGTGACTTCCCCGTCTGTCCTTTCCACAGCACAGGGCTTTGAATAGTAACAATAGGGAAAACAAGGGAATGAGGGTGTATTTGCCCAGACTGGAGCACACTCCTGCACAAACTAACCTGTAAAAAGTATCCTGGTGAAATCTAGATGGGTTTGAGGTATTGTCAGTGGATCATATGATGCCTGGGCATTTCAAGTTTCTTTGAAAGAAAGGAAAAAGGAAATCTAAAACAAATATCCTTCGATCTTTTTTTTTTTTTTTTAAGCAAGACAGCAAGGATATGAAAAACTGGAAATTATTAAGAAAGGGTTTCCCTTCCCTTAAGCTCAGGGGTACTATCAGTTATAAAGAGTCAACTAAGTCAATCTTTAAAGCATTACTTCCTTCTCTAAAGTTGTGTATATAGTATTGCAGGTTAAATTACTTTATGTCAGGTCCTACGGGGGAAAGATGTGGTTTCCAACTGAAAACATGCTTTGCAGTGTTTGTTTCCTTCCAGGGCAGAGTTCCCCTGACTTAAGGAGCGCCGTGTGTATTTTTAAGTGCAACCAAGATCATGTCATCAGTATCTGAGGCCTGAGACGAAGGAACCCTAGAAGCCATACTTTGTAGGGTGTTTAGGGGATCAGCCACCCCTCCTGTATGCTGGGCCAGGCTGCCCAGCCGCAGAACAAGCACGAGCTTTTCACACACAGAGATGGATGTCTAGGAGTCCTCCCTCTCTCCTGGCATCTCCTTTCCTATTATAAGGTGTCCAGTCTACCAGCAGCAAACCTCCTGGATTTGAAAGTTTTGAATTTATCTTTATCTTTAGTCCTTACCTTAGCTGATTTGCTGCTGAGGCTGCTTTTAAAATCTACACCCCTGCGTTCTTAGGTTATTCTTCAGGGGAAATGTTGAATGGGATAGAAAACCAAGAATCTAGTTTGCCAGTGATTGTGTCTGATTTTTACAAGTTTGAGTTACACAAGGGCTAGTTTATACCCCTTTTCTTTTTTTCTTTTTTTTTGGGGGGGGGTTGTGGGAGGTGGGAAATTTGGGCGATCTCTTGATTGGCAATGAGGATAAAACGTTAATTTTTTTCAGGCTTAATGACTTTATCCTCCTCTATGAATAAATAAGGGATCCATTGGTACTTACTTCAGTGCTGCATTCAACCATGGGAAAGGTGGAGTTTGCCTGTCCAAGGGCCGAATTAAAGGCATCGATTAATTGGTCACATATTTGTTACCTGGAATGGAACTTGAAAGCAAATACATTTTGATTTCAAATTTCTGTGGTGTGCTTTTTGTTTTGTTTGAAGAAAACCAACAGAATAACATTTTTAAAAGATGAACTGTTGAGCAAAAGTCGCTGTGGGATTGCTTGCATGCAAATACCAATGTGACAGTCTTGACTGAATGATTCATGACCACAGAGGGGTGGAGCATTCATTCATTCAGTCAATTTTATTCGACAGATATTTATTACGTATTGTACTGCTTTAGTGGTGAGGATGCAGTGGTGAACACGGCATTAAGAAATGCCCTTAAAAAAAGTCTCATTGTTTGTTTTTGGTCCAAGTTTGAATTTCTAGTTTAATGCTAAAGTAAATTTGACTTCTGGCCAAATGTCAAATCCAGAGATGTGTCTCATACTCTTTCTGCCAGTGGGCAGTAGGTTCAGACCAGGATAAAAGAATAAGGGCAAATAAGAAACTATAGCTGGGGCTGGTTTAGGAAGCACTGAGGAAAAACAGCCTGCGTAATCCTTGTCTGAGCACAAAGCCCATATCACAGATGGTATCTGAACCCGGGCACTAGTGAAGCAACCAGTTTCTTGAGAACCCTCTCCTGAAGGCCTCCAGTATGTAGGAGTTGCTGTCTATATATGGCCCTGGAGTAACTTCTGCTCTTTGCTATCTTAAAGTTACTTAGAACACCGGGGAAAGAAATCAGATATAGTTTTGGGTGTTTCTTGCCTTGCTATTGTTTTCTGTGGCATTGGGAAATAAGTAGTGAGTGGTTAAGATTTCCCAACAATCATTTAGTCAGTGCTTAAAATATTTTTGTTGTTGTTTGTAACTGTTGTTTTAAATGAGACTGACCACTCTGCTCTAGAAGTCATGATACATATGTCTTGTCCTTTTCCATCAGTCACCAACATCTAGCTCAGAGCATGGCACATAACATACTTTCAACAATATTTGTTGAAAGAAATAATAAAACCTTCAAATGATGGTGGATTTCATTCACTAGGTAATAAATCAGATTTGCATTTTTAATCTAGAAGGAAATGATTACCAATTCCTTAAGACCCAACACAATTCTTTTGATCTTTCTGTTTTAATTTTCTAGGAAATAGCTTTTAACAACCTACACCTTGTCTATTGAATTCTCACCCAGTTCTTGCCCTTATCACCATCGGTGATAACGCCAGAGTGCAGTCCTTTACTGGTGACTATTGAAATGAGATGATAACTTCCCAGAAACTGCCTAGAAATAATCATCACTTTATTACCCTTTGAAAAGAAGATTGATAGAAAAGTCATTTGAAAGATGGTTCATTACCATGCCCTAGTACGATTTCTTTACTCACATCTCTCCAAAGCATGAGAAAGGGAGGATTATTCTCTGAGGTCGGAATTTGAAGGCTGTGTGTTTGCCTCTTTGAAGTCTTGGTATTTAATTTTCTGTAGTCATTTCTTGGGCAATTTTCTAAGAAACTAGTTGAAGCTAATTTATCATAAGTTAAAGTCAAATGACAGAAAAGATTTTCCCCCCTTAACAGCATTTTATTCCACAGAGGTTAGCTTCTGAAGGAAAATGAGACTTAAATAGCATTTCAAATCTCCAGCCACATGGGTGGGTACACAGAATAGAAAGGATTCTGGAAAACACGCTGATTTTTTTTTTTTTTTTAATTTAGCATGGTTATTATTTTGTGTCTTTTCTTTCTAGACCATGATGTACAGATAAAATATTATATTTTTGTGAAATACCCTCCTAAAAATAATTAGATGCTTAATTTTTCAAAGAAAGGCTTAGCTCTCAAGGGATAACAAACCTTGGTCTCTATCGTTCTCAGACTTTTATTATAACTTTATATAATTTGTTTAACCTTTCTGTTAACCCCTGATGCTGAAATGGAGATGAAGATACTTACCTTTTCAAACGAAGGTGAATGATACTGAGAAGCATTTATAAAGTTATTTGAGAATCTCATTTTCAAAGACTTATTGTGAGCATGGAATCCAGTTCAATAAATAATAAGGGGTTTTCATTTTTGATATGGTGTGATCATTATTTAATGTTTACAGAGGATGCTCAGTGGACCTGTTTCAGGATAAACACAAAAGTGATTTCTGCTGATTCTTTCTGAGGGAAAAAAAGCTCATGGCTTCCTTTTTGTTTTAAAACATAATTAAATCGTTCAAAATCAGGAAACTCACCATTTCACAGTACGTTCTATTTATTTTGATTTGTCATGGATTTAGGTTTACCCGACTAATTTCTAGAAATTATGACACATATGCTTTTGTTGTGTCTTGTCCTCAATCAATCACCAACATCTAGTACAAAACATGGTACGTAATATGTTTTCATGTTATGCTCAAAGAAAGCCTTCTAAGGAAGAAGTAAAGTCCAGACCTGGCACCATCTTTGGTGACATTTTGGGGCATGAAAAGAGAATATCTTGATGCTTGTAAAACATGGAAGTTCAAAACAATTTAAATTAATGATGATTTAACTTTTGTCAGTGTAGAGCTGTTTAATAATGAGAAAATTCTGGCTTACACCTTACCAGCATCTTCTTTTAGCAACTAACTGTCTTTAGATTTCTCATCTTGTAGTGAATGTTCATTATGAGCCCTTAGAAATTTAATCTGCTCAATTAGTCCTTCCAAATATTATGGCAGAGACTCTTTGGCTAATGGCTGTTCCAATGTAGATGTATAACAGTTGCCTTTGTTTGGAGCGATTTGGGGGAAATCCCATATTTCACTGATGCCATATTTTTGCACTTTGGCATCTAATGAGTCTTTAGCTCTGTATCCAATTGTTCACTCTAAACAGGCCAGGGTGACTCTGAGTACTTTGTTGCCATGTTTTGGAATTTCCTACTCACCCTTGAAATTTTGTTAGTAAGAACTAGGGGAGCAGAGGTGCTGGTAGCAGTGAAGGGGAGGAGAAATGATCACCAGGTTCATATGCCTGCTCTGGGTGAGGTCAAAGAGTGTTATGGATGGTGGCAGGATTGGTAAATTATTTTGCTGAGGAAGTAGGAGGTGATGTGTTTTGGAAGATCACATGTATGTTACAGATGAAAACACACATGGGCTGGGATGTTTGCCTGCTGCTAAAGGGTTTCTGGGGATATCTAAGGAGATACCGTGGAAAGAGAGATGTGGTAATTCATGGTTTAGTCCTTAATTTTGTGCAACTGTTCAGTGTATATCCTATTTAAGAAATATTTTTGAGCCTTAGCACGTATTATTCCTAGACACTAAGGTTAGACTTATGAGATAAGCTCGCCGAGGCAAATAAGGAGTTTATTACTGATCAGTCAATGCCC